TGTGTCCGTCGGCAGGGTCTCCTAAAGATGCTTTGGACACACAAAGTTCAGAAAACTCTCCCACAGGCCTTGAATGAGCACAGCATGCCACGTGGCACCAGACAGAAGGGCGTTACTAGGGGAGGACACAGTCCATGGAAAGGCAGGGTCGAGAGTGACAGCATGGAGTGGGCGCTCCGGGGCCATAGGAGCGCGGCTTGGCAGGGAGGCCCTGTTTTGGGGCAGTGGGGAGGGGAGAGGCGAGAGGAGCTGGATGAGTGGGCTAGCCTGGTGACCCAGATGCCCTGCTGAGTGGTTGGTCTTGATTCACTTTCGAGAACCAGCCTGGAAGCAGAAGTCCTTATTTAACGCTCCCAGGTGTTCCTACAAGGTAGTGACTGTTGTTTAGTTGTTGTTTTGACAACTGGCTTCCACTCGGGAAGAGAAGCCGACAAGCCGAGCCCTCACCCAAACATGCCTGTAGGGAAATCGCAGGCGCGGCCAGAGGTCCTGAGAGGAGACCCCTGAGGAGACGCTCACCTCGCTGGGCTGACTGACGTGGTTTTGGGGGCGTGTGCGGTGCCCTGGGAGGGGTGGCAGTGCCAGCGAACTCGCTGCTTGTTTGACACGGAACACCGGGTGGAGAAAGTGCTGTTTTCCCTGCGTGACAGGTCAGCCCTGGGGGTGCGTTTCTGCCTCTCCTGGCGCTCAGCTGGATGATGCTGAGAAGGGGCGCCGATATTAAACCGCGGGAAATGACAGGTGGCGGCCACTCTCATTCAGGGGCGAGCTGTTCCTCCTGGGAGCAAATCCAGTCGCGTATTGAAGCACTACTTGGACCTCTCCTTGTGTAATTTGAGACGGACCATTTTACAGATGGTGCAACCGAGGCCCCAAGGGGAAGGTGACGTTCCCGAGGTCACTGCTTGCAGCTGGCACGTGGCAGAGTCAGGCTCCCGGTGAGATCTTTTATGGTGACCAGCACAGGCAACAGAGGAACCAGGCGAAGCGTATTTGGAGAACAGTCTTGCGGAGCCGAGTCGGGGTGGGGTGCCTGTTGGGAAAGTCAGAGAACAAAGCTGCAGAGGCCAGGAGGGTCCCTTCCTCTCCACTGACAGTATTAGGGAGGAATTGTGCAGAACTCGGCCATCTGGGGTCACCAGATAAATAGATGAGTCGATTAAAAAGGATGGATTTCTGGACTGTTTGTAGTGCGGCCTAAGTCTCAGGTATCCTTGCGCCCAAGGAGTGGAAGGAGACGTTTTCAGATCGCCCCGGCTGTGTGTGGGCGAACAAGCCGACTGAGTCCCGGGCTGCGGAGGATGCGACACTTTGCAAGAGGGCGGGGCGGGGGGGGGCGGGGGAGAAAGCTCAGAGGAGTCGGGGAGTCGGGGCTGCCCGAGGGCCGGGAGCCTCCCTCTCAGAGGCAGCAGGTGCGTTTGCAGAGATGCTCTGGGCTGGGAGACAGAAGCCCTGGACCCCGTCCCTTCCCTTCATCCTTCATTGACAGCAGCCGCACCCCTGGACGTTAGCCCCTCACTGCTCTGGGCAGGCTCAATTTAAGTGCTAAAAGCTCTTCCCGGCTTGAGGGGTCAGGATTTAGTCATCGCAGGAGGCACATATTAAATGGGAGAAGGGGCCGTGCGGGACGAGTGGCTAAGTTTGCTCGCTCCTCTTAGGCGGCCCCGGTTTCGCCAGTTTGGATCCTGGGCGCGGACATGGCACCACTCATCAAGCCATGCTGAGGCGGCGTCCCACATGCCACAACTAGAAGGACCCACAACTAAAAATATACAACTATCTATGGGGGGACTTTGGGGAGAAAAAGGAAAATAAAATCTATCTTTTTTTTTTTTTTTTAAAGGAGAGTCCCCATAAAGCACTGAGCACAAAGCCCCGCCAGGTGGGTTGTTTTGGTTGCTGGTGCTCTGTGGCTGAGGCCACCTGTCCTAGGCTTTCAAGATGAATGTGATCTGGGCCCACTCAAGAACCTGTGTTCTAATCCTAGCTGGTTAATGTGCAAAATGACACCCCTACCTCCGCCAGCCTCAGTTTCCTCCTGTGTCAGGTGAAGAGGGGGACTTCTTAGTGTCAAACGTCACGGCCAGGAAATGCCCCAGAGCCCAGTGGTGGAGGACCCAGGACTCTGGAGCCCTGCCTCTTCCTGGCTGTGCAAGCTTGGTCGAGTCACTCAGCCTCTCTGAGCCTCAGATGGGGTAAGATTCCTCATCTCATAGGGTGGTTGGTGAGAATTGGGTGAAGTACAGCCCCCACGTGCCAGTGCTGACCCAGGCACACACAGGCACTCAGCCCAGGGAGCTGCGGTTTCTCTCTGGATCTGGCTGTATGGTTGGAGGATTTTCCATATGTTTAAGGCATTTTGAGTGTGCTTTTTCTCCTGTCAGACTCTCTGAAAATGCTATAAAGTCTCATTACCTTTGGGCTGATTATCAGAGAAAAGTGAGTAGCCATAATCAGTGAAAAGTGATTTAAGGAAGTAAGAAAAATATTTAGCGTGATTTAAAAAGTTACTATTAACTAGAATTATGTCCAGGGCCGGGCACATAATGTTAGGGGCAGTTATTCTTGTTTCCAGGATGTAGGAACAGTTGGAATTAGCACGAGGCTTGCTATGACGGTGGTAAACCAGGGTCCTCCTCATTCGCTGCCACCTGGACAGAGGCTGGCGCCCTGCCCTGAGCACACTGTGATGGATCTGTGACTGCAGGAGGAAGACATGGGCAATGAGCAGCTCACTCTGCTGGGAGACGCGCAGGGGTGGTCAGGGCAGGCTTCCCAGAGGAGGTGCACTTGAGGATGGAGAAGGGCAGGGATGTGCATTCCAGGGTCCGGAATGGCCTGAAACAATGCACTGCGCTGTGAAAGACGAGGCCCTCCCAGGCGATGGTGCACAGAGATGGTGGGTTCTGTGATCGAGGAACCCTCTCTCTGGCTTCAGCTCTGCTAAGGGACGTTCCTAACGGCAGCGTTTTTCTGGAGAACGCAGCGTCCAGGCACCCGGGCTGTGTTGGAAGGGGCCTTGTGACCTCCTCAGCAGATCCTCTGAGGCCCAGAGCTGAGGGCCTGGGCACCTTCTGTCCTCTCAGGCCTCTGCTGCTCCCCACTCCCCAGTGCCTGGAGTCAGCCACGCTTGCCTGTCCACCTGTGTCCCCGTCTGCTCGTGGAGGCTCTGTCCCTTAGACAGCCACTCAGGGCTTCAAGCTTGTGAGGTCTGCACAGCTGCAGTCACCTAGGAAACAGTGTTCAGGGAGTCTGCCCGGGAGAGGCAGCAGGGGACAAATGCCAGAGCCCTGCGGGGCTCCGAGTTCTGACCTGAGTGGTCCCACTGGGGGCCTGCTGGGGACAAGGTCTTCCTCAAAGGTGTCCAGCTCGGAGCAGGCCATGGCTCCCCTTGCTGGGGGCGGCTCGCCCCGGCCACCCACCCCAGACCCCCAGTGGGACCCTCTGTTTGCCCCCTCCTCGGCCCCAATCCTGGTAATGGAGCCGCTCAGCCCCCGAGCCGACTGAGGGCAGGTCGCCGGGTGGACGGGCAGGGCCTTCCCTGGGGGTTGAGGCCTCCCCGGGGTCTGCGGTCTGCATTTCCTGGGCCTGAGAAAGGGCTCCCCGTGTAAGTAAGGAGCTGAGCTGGCCAGGTCCCGAGCAGCAGGAGCGGGCAGGAGAGGAGCTGGACGTGCAGAGCCCGGAGTGGACACGCTGGAGGCTGAGGCTCTTGCAGCCAGGCCTCAGCTTCCCCACCCGTGACACGGACACACTGGGCCGGCGGGCGGTGCTGAATTTCGTGAGCTAGTCCACATTCCAAAGTCAAATTGGGGTTGAGGAGTGGAGCAGCCCACCCTTGGGCTGGAAAACTTTTTATTTTACTACTGAACCGTGATTTTTAAAAAGTGACATCTGGTCTCACCGTGACGTTGTGAAAGAAAAGACATTTTTACCACCAAAAACAGTAGGAAGCCTGCAGTGTTAGAAGGCCGGGATAACCGTGTTTCAGAAAGGAGCCCTGCCAGCCACCCCGCAGGCCTGGACTGCGTGCCCTGAGCTTTCCCATCGTGCTGCGGGCTGGGAAGGCTTCATCCCAGGTTGGCACGGGCCTGGCGTGGGACGGCCGTGGCCCAGAGGCTCTTTGGAAGGTTCCGAGAACAAACCGCAATGACCGCTGCTGTCTCGCCTTCCTCGTGGTGGACGCTGCTCTGAGACTGGCTCCCGTGTGAATAGATGCTCGCCCTTGTGCACGGATCTTCATCCGCGCCTGGCCCTGTGCCGAGCACTTCACCTGCATCAGTTCCTGTGGTCACCCTCCGCCCTGGGAGGGGATGCCGCTATCAGCCACATTTGACAGCTGTGGAAACTGAGGCACAGCAGGCAGCCCAGGGTCACAGAGCAGAGCCGGGATCTGATCCCTGGCAGCCTGATTCCAGAGCTGCCTGGCAAGCCCCCAACCCTTTCAGGCCTCAGTCTCCTTATCTGTAAATTCTGGGCGTTGGGGTCCTGGGCTGATCTGTCATTCAGTGATGGCCAGGCAAGGGGTCTCAGGCGCCCAGGGACCTCCAGCCAGGACCTCTGGGGTTTCAAGGCTGCCAGGAGTAGCTGCAGCCATCCTGGGGGACATCAGCGAGGCCACCTTCCTCTCCCGAAGGTTTTCTTCCCAGCTGCCCGGGGGCTCCAGCTGTGACCAGCAAGAAGGAGGGAGACCACTTGGCCGCTCTGCTCCAAGTAGCTGGTCCGCAGTTCCCGCCGTGGTCGTCGCAGCCGCTCTGCAGCCCCATTTCCCAGCGGTGTTCGCAGCAAAGCCTTTGTCTGCTCTCCACTCCAGACCCCAGCCCCTGGAACTTCTGCCTCCCTGGCTTGGCAGGCGCCTGCCCAAGGAACAGAGGGCACCCACACCTTGTATGGGGAGCTGCAGGCCCTGTTCTGGCTCCCTCCCCCTCCACCTGCGTTCTGCTTCCCAAGATGCTCTCCTGACCGCACCCCAAGACTAGGTGGGGGAGGTGACAGGAGGTTTCCACATCCATGCTCAGATCCCCAGGCCCATGGCACTCACATCATCCCTCAGTCAGCGAGTGTGCTGGGGGGTCTCCAGGGCCCTCCAGTCCCACCCACTGCAGAAGAGGAGAGGCCATTGGAGTGGAAGGGCAGGGGCAGCCGGGAGGAGGCAGGGGTGTGGGGTGATGCCCGCGTCTCAGAGCTGGGTGCCCTGCATTTGAACCCTGGTCCTGGCTCTGAGATGATCTGTAGGGCGCCCAGCGGCCTGGCACACAGGAGATGCCCAGCGGGGCCTTTGCTGTGAGTCGAGGCCACCACTCGTCTTGGGGAGAATGTGCGTCCTTTTGGTCATCATCCTGGCGCACACCTTGTCAGGGTGCTGTTCTAAGCAGTCTGTACATATCAGCTCATTTCATCTGTCAGCAACCCTAAAAGGTGGGTACTGTTACTCTCCCCATTCTGTATTTAAGGAAACTGAGGCACAGAGAGGCTTAGTTATGGCCTGCCTCTTCTGCTGGGGAGGTTGTCTTTGCAGAGAGAGAGAGGGCTGTGTGTGTGTGTGTCTACCTGTGTGCACTTGTGTGTGTGTGTCTACCTGTGTGCACCTGTGTGTGTATGTCTACCTGTGTGTGTATGTCTACCTGTGTGTACTTGTGTCTGTGTGTGTCTACCTGTGTGCACTTGTGTGTGTGTGTCACCTGTGTGTACTTGTGTGTGTGTGTCTACCTGTGTGCACCTGTGTGTGTACGTCTACCTGTGTGTGTATGTCTACCTGTGTGTACTTGTGTCTGTGTGTGTCTACCTGTGTGCACTTGTGTGTGTGTGTCTACCTGTGTGCACTTGTGTGTGTGTGTCAACCTGTGTGCGCTTGTGTGTGTGTGTGTCTACCTGTGTGCACTTGTGTGTGTGTGTCTGTGTGCACGTGTGTGTGTCTGTCTACCTGTGTGCACGTGTGTGTGTGTGTGCATTTGTGTGGGGAGGGACAGTTAGGACACTGCCCCTCCCAGCTCTTGGGGGTCTCCTGGTCAGCTGGTCCAGGCCGCAGCCTGGAGAGGGGCAGGCCTTTCACTGGTCAGGCAGTGGTCCCTGGCAGGGCTGGGGCCTCACCGTGGCCCCTGGGACCTTTCTTGCTGTTGTCCCTTGTGCTTCGGGAGCTGGCATTTTAGGGGCAGGTGTTTCTCCTTTTGGGAAGGCCCCCGTTGCCTCCACTTTTGGGAAAAGGCGACCCCCTGTGCTGGGGTGGCAGCCAGGGGTCCCCGAGTCCCAGGCGATATGCCCTTTGCCTCGTCCCTGTCTTTGGAGACACTGAGGCCTGTGCAGTGGACTCTGCCCCTTGCCAGGCTTCAGAGCCAGGTCCAGCGTCCTTTGTGCCCTCCTGGGTTGGGGTCTCTGACGCTTGTCGCCCCAGGAACAGACACACCCAACCCTAGTCCCTGCCCTAGAAGCCGCAGGTCGTCCACCTGTCGGCCCTAGCCTGTTTCTCTACTCCTTTGTACTTTAGCAAGCAGATGAACGGAGTGTCGACCTTGTCCTGCTTTCAAATCCCCGCTCTGTCACGCCATCACTGGGTAGCCTTAGGCCAGGTCATGTCTTCTCGCTGAGCCTCAGTTTCCTAATCTGTAAAATGGGGGCAAAAGCGCCCCTCCCCCAGGGGTGCTGTAAGGAGCAGTGGCAACCGGGAATAGGAAAACCTCTGGCGAAGTATCAAGTCTGGGCAGATGGTCCGTGGGGTGGGCGCTGGACTGACTGCGCTGGCAGAAATCAAACCCTGGCCCAGCCCCTGGAGGCTCACAGTCTGGCAAGGGAGACCCACGCGTGCTCACATGCATTATCGTCAGCCAGTAATAGTCTTTTTCATTGGTTGATTTTGTTTTACACTTTACCAAGTGTCTCCAGGTCATCAGCACCACTGTTTCCACCCTTCCTTGCGTCTGAGATCCGCCTGGGGTGCTGGCTTCAGAGCCTTGAAGATTCAGAGTCGGGGGTCTGTGGTGGGCCCAGGCGTCTGCATGTCCAGCTGGAGTCCCAGGCGATGCTGATGCTTAGGCAGCTGTGAGGGTCTTGGTCGTTCACCAGCTCTGCCCAAGAGCCCAGAGATTCCGCCAGGGCCAGTTTTTTTTGTTTTGTTTTGTTTTGAGGAAGATTAGCCCTGAGCTAACTACTGCCAGTCCTCCTCTTTTTGCTGAGGAACCCTGGCTCTGAGCTAACACCCGTGCCCATCTTCCTCTACTTTATACGTGGGACGCCTACCACAGCATGGCTGCCAAGCGGTGCCATGTCTGCACCCGGGATCCGAACCAGTGAACCCTGGGCCGCCGAGAAGCGGAACGTGTGAACTTAACCGCTGCGCCACCGGGTCGGCCCCGCCAGGGCCAGTTTTACAGATACGGGGCCCGCTTTCTAGATGAAGAAACTGGGGTTACCCAAGGAGAACTTTGAACTGTGTCCAGAGTGGCACAGTTCTAAGCGAGAGCCCAGTGCCTGGTGAACAGGGGGTGACGCAGGCCAGAGGAGACAAGGGGAAAGAGTGGGGTGGTCAGGAAGGGCTTCCTGGAGGAGGCGACACTTGGGCCAGGTCTTCAAGGTGGGTGGGGTCCACCTAAACATAAGAGAACACACAAACAAAGTGCAGGGTTGAATAGCATGCTGGGGAGCAAGGAGGTCCCAGGACTCAAGCAGGACAAGAGGAGAAATAAAGTGGCAGAGATTGGGGACAGGGACAGGCAAGTGTAATGAGCCTTGGATTCCGAGTGTGGGGATATTTAGAGATTGTGAAAGCAGCTGGGAGCCACTGATGGTTCTTGAGCTGAGGGCAACATGTCAGGGAGTGGCTAGAAACAATCTTGGCTAAGCTGGTGGGAGCAGAGTTCAAGGCACGCCTCTGTGGAACTTCTAGCGGTTGGGGTGGCCTTGTTTTGAGTTGCTGCCATCCCAACCGCTGCTGCCCACAGTGAGGAGGCAGTGCCGCATCCCCAGCCCTGTGCTCTTGGCAGACGCGGTCGAGGTGCACGGTGGAGGGGGAGGGAGGACGTCTGGGTTGCCCCGGGGGTGGTCTGCACGCGGAGGAAGACCACGGCTGAGAAACGTCAGTCCTCCCGTGGCCGCCGCCCCTGGAGTGGATTTCAGGACTGAGCTCTTCTAGCTGAGCGGTAGCTGCTCTTAGGCACCATCTTGTGGCCCTGGAAGTGGCCGCTGCTGCCGCCTTAACACCTGCCAACCTGACGGGGTTAGACAGGAGTCCGGTCCACCCAGTTCTGGGGCGGGAGCTTTACTTTCAGCCTCTGCATCACTGTATTCCACTAGCTTGGGGGGGTTGGGAGTGTCCCTGCCCTCCATCACCTCCTTCCGGCCTCAGTTTCCCCTCTGTGAAATGAGTTCCATCCAGCTCTGGTGGTCCATCTGTGAAAGAGGCTGGTATCTCTTGTCGTTGCTCTGCTGTGGGTCTCGGGCCTCAGTTTCCTCACCTGGAAAATGGGCTTGCATTTGCATGTGCCAAAACCTCTAAGGCCCTATTTTGAGCCTTTGGTTTTGGCACAAGATCCAGAAAGATTCCCCTTGGCAAATCTTTAGGGGATCAGGGGAGAATTCACTTCAAAGTCATTTTTGGTAGATGCTCAGGGAACACGTTGTTTCATGAAAATTGATTTCCTAAAGATTTGGGGCTCGTCTCAAAAAAAGGCAAAGCCGTAAAGGGTTTTGACCATTTGGGGGGAACTGCTCAGAGGCCAGGAACGCATCCCCTCTCTCCATCAGAGGGTGTGTAGGGCCCATCCTGCCTCTGTTGACAGTCCTGCCTATGTCCTAAATGTCTGCCATTGTTCTTTGCTCTGTCCCCCAAATCGAGGAGCCCTCGCAGCTACAAGGTGGAAGGTATTTCCTCCTACACTGGGTGTCCCCAGAGCCCTGGGCACTGAGTGTTCCATCCGAGCAGTGTTCACCATGCTCAGCCTTGTCCTGGGTGTCAGGAAGCAGGCCTGGGCGACAGAGGAGGAAGCAGACAATTGTAGCAGGGGCTGGTGAGTAGGGGCAGAGGTGGGGTGGCCTGAGGAGCCAAGGGAAGGCACTGGGGGGTCCTTGGGGCCATCGTCCTGGGGAATCACCCATGGGCTGCTCGGGGAAAGTGTGCCAGGCTCAGGGAACGGCATGAGCCCGTGTGTGGGGGCGTGAGGCAGCCCGGGATGAGTGGTTCCGTAGCCCCTGGGGATCTCAGGTGGGCTCCGGATGATGGAAGATGCCTGAAACTTGACTTCCAGGTAAGTGGAGCGGAAGTCCAGGCAACAAGCCCCTTTGCTCTGGGACACGGAACGCGGGCAGCAGGTGTCGCTAGTCAGTCACACCTCTGTCCTGCTAAATCCCAGGCTATTCACTCTGCAGGCGCCAGACTCTCCTCGAGCTGAATTTCTGAGTGAGGGTGAGGCAATTTTGGATCGAGGAAGGAAGAAGGTCCTTCCTTGTTGAGGAGAAACGTGTTTAAAAGAGAAGCAATGAGAGCAGGGAGCTGTTTACAAGCATTCAATGGCCTGGGAGTTCTCATGGCTGGAGATGGGACATGCGCCCGTCTTACAGACGGTAACACTGAGGCTGAGAGAGGCGACTTGCTCAGGGCCGTACAGCAAGGAGTGCCCTGGCTGGTTTCCATGGAGCTGTGACTTCCGGCAGAGCTCCGGTCAGTGGCAGAGTTGGGGGTGGCTGGGCTCTGAGCATGGGCCCAGGCGTGCCCTCGATGCCTTGGGTGGCCTGTCTCTCTCCAGTATCTGTAGAGTGGAGGAGGGGCTGCCTCTGCTTTTCACAGCCAGCGAGAGGAGGGTAGCTGTAGGTTCTCAGGCTTAAAAGGGGAAGTTTGAGGAAATGGAAAGCGAGCCTTTCTTTTTTCTTGTGTCTCTTTTTTTGTGGCCTCCAGAAATAATCTTGGGCTCTGCAGAGCCTGCCTCAGGATCAAGGTTGACCCCTCCCCACCCCTACTTCCGGCAAAACCGGCCGGGGGTGGTGGGGATGCTGATGGGGAGAAGAGTGACAGGCCTGTGGCTGGTGAGTCAGGGCCGGGAGGCCGTTGCCTGCTGACTTACCCGCTGTGCGTGAAAACGGGTGCCCGAGCGCCCTGTAGGCGTCATGGCAGCCTCCGCCAGCTCCTGCATCCACCTCCTCGGCTGAGCTCTGGTCACGGCAGCAGATGCTGCAAATCCACCAAGTGACGTTGGGGTCCGAGTCCCCTCAGACAGACTCCGTGAGGCTTGACCATTCCTGGACCCTCGCCTTCCTGCAGGAGTCCAGGGCCAGCCAGGCTGCGGGCCTGGCCAGGATCGGGTCACAGGCCCTATTCCTTGAAGCCTGTCTTGTTCGGACACGTGACTCCTGTCCTGAACCTGCAGAAGCACTTTTGTGTTACTTTAACAGAGCAAGCCCCTCTGCCCTGTCATGACATTAGTACCTCGAGGGCAGGAAGGGGACGCCATCCCCCTGCAGTGGGCTGGGGCCAGCGTGCAGTAGGGCCACAGCTGGCAGGGGACAGCCGGGGCTTGGGGTTCCTCCTCCCAACCAGCCCCAAGTGTGGAAGTGCCTGTTCAGCTCCGAGAGGTGACTTGCGCGGATCAGACAGCATCGAAGCCGCCCCGTTCTCTCCAGACCCACGGGGAGGGGAGGGTCTACGCCCCACGCACTAGAGCGTTTTCTTCTCTGTGTCACTGGTGGTGTGGCCCTTGGCCAAGGGTGTTATGGCCCATCCTTGGCTGGTTCCTCTTTGCAAAAAACAGCAGCCGCCTTCAGCCCATCCCACAGCAACTCGGGTCACGGGGAGGCTGGGGGGCTCCAGGGTGTCGGGGGTAAGTGCTTGAGCTCTGCGGGCCCCTGCTAGAAAGTCCCCACTAGCAACTGCTTACAGGGCAGAGCCCAGCGTGGGCCCTCAGATCCCCTCGCAGAGTGGGGGCGGGGCGGCTGGGCAGGGACAAGCCCGGGCTTTTAGCCAAACAGGTTGAGTCCTCGCTGGGGCCGCACAAAACTCTCCAGGGGCTCCCCCTACCCTTGGGATAAATCCAGGTCCTAAGGCTGGCCTGCAGGCTTTGCCTCCGCTGCAGGTCACCCCAGCCTTGTGCCCCCTTGCTCTGTCCCACACTGGCCTTCTCTCTCTTCCTTTACCATGCCCAGGGTGGCCCTGTTCGTATACACTGTTCCCTGCTCTGACATCATTCCCCAGGTGTTTGCCGTGCAGATCTCAGCTTCAATGTGATTGACAGCACAGATCCTGGAGCCTATCCGCTGGGTTGGAAAGTATCCCAGCTGTGTGACTTTGGGCATATGGCTTCACCTCTCTGGGCCTCATTCCTTCATCCAGGCTGCTGAGGGGAATAAATGCGTTGGTATCTGGATGGGCTTGCACAGGGCCTCCCCGGAGCCAGTCCTCAGTGAGCGTCTGCCATTCTGAACGTCACCTCCTCAGAGAGGCCTTGTGGACTCCCCGTGCCCTCGTCCCCTCTTCCTCGTCCTGCTGGGTCGTCTTCTGCATGCTAGCCCGGGTCGTAAACATGTATTCTTGTGTGTGTTTAGTGTCCACCTCCCCTTCCGGAGGGTCAGCTCCTCGGGGCTCACCTCCGTGCCCTCTTCCTGGAGCAGCGCCTGCCCCTCGGGCATGCTCTCGGTCAATGTTGCCCACCAGTCACTGCTTGCCAAAGCCGCCCTTACTGGTTCTACCCCTGGACATCGAGATGCAAAGGGGAAGTACTTGGCCTGTGTGACCCGACAGAACCAGAACTAGACCCAGCGTCCTGACCCCCCGCCGCGGCCCTTCCCGGCTCAGTGGCCTGTTCCGCCGGTGCCTGGGCACCTCTGTTTTGGGCACGGCATGTGCCCAGCTCACGGTCACCTCCAGGGCAGCCCCTGGACATCCTGCCCCTGCAGCCCCGCCTGTCCCCAGGCCCAGCCCTGCCGCACAGGAGCCTGCTCGGCCTCCCCCGCCCCCACCCCCGGGATCTGCACATCCTCGTTTTTGTTCCGTCTCTGCTGTCCGCCTGTGGTTCTCCGGGCTTTGGGTCAGGGCCTGCCCCCTCCAGGGAGATGAGGAAATATCTGGACTCAGTCTCTAGACCTTTTACCTGCAGACGACTTTGTGAGGGGGAGGACAGGGTGGCTGTCCATTGGGCCCACATCCTCCCCTCCCAGGACTGTTCCCGAGGCCAGTTCTTTGCAAAGCCTGTTCACCTTCAGCCACTTTTTCCTTTCCAAACCACAGACCAAGAAATTCGCACTGCTCTGGTAGGTCCCTGCCCAGAGGTCACCTTGGTGGCCAGGGTGCCAGGGTGGCACCAGCGGCATGGAGTCAGGATCTAGGTGTGAATCCTGACCCACTGCTCCTGGCTGTGTGACCTGGCCCAGACCTTCCCCTGCTCTGAGCCTCCGCCTCCTGACCTGCGAAGGAGGAGGCTGCGTGAGGCTTGGGGAGAAGGCAACACTTCTGTAGGTTGAAGGCTGAGCATGAGCCACGCAAGGTGCTGTCAGCGGGGGTGGGGGGTCTCGGAGGGTAGACCTGAGCTTTCATGGGGTGGCATGTTGCCGTCAGAGCAGGGGAGGGGAGGACCTTGCCCACAGACACTGAAGCCCAGGCAGATAACAAGCCCTGTCCCCAGAGATGTCATGCTGAAAACAATCCCCCAAACAGAATTCACTTTCACTAGGACAGGAATATTGTTGCTCATTGTTTCATCTTTGTTCTGGGCAAAACAATGCCGGGCTTCCTGGATGACCTCACTGGGGCGAGCCGTCGGGCCTGTGAGGCCGGGCTGGTCAGCATCTCCAGGCAAGCCTGTCCTGCCCTTGGCTGTGGCTGCCTTGGGGGACGTAGGCAATGGTATGACCAAAGAGGGCAGTGGCTCACACCGTGTTAGAAATTGGCAAACGTGTATCTGCGTATGTCTCAGATTTCAACATCTCTCGAGAAATGGGAGGACCGAGCCCCAGTGGGCCCATCAGTAGCTGGAGCTGAGGAGAGCTGCCTGGGGCTGGAACTCAGGCTCCCATTTACCACAGTCCCTGCTCCTCCTTGTGGCCTCCCCACTGTACTCTGTCCTTTGCCCACCAGGCCCCTGGAGGCCTTTGAACTTGTCATCCTTGAGTTAGCCTGAGTTAGGAACCGATAGCCAAGACAGAAGCATATAGACCACGTGACTCAATCACGTGATTACATCAGCTGGTCTCCGGCCAAGGCTGCAGTTCTGCACCAGAGCAACTGCATGTGCGTGTGTGACCTGCCAAACGGCTGTGGCCAGTGGGCAAACGCAGACAAGCCCTATTGGCACAACTTCAGCAGACGCAGTGGGTTCACAAAACATAGCTCCTGCCTGCCCCCCTCCAGAGGTGGCAAGTGGAATCTGTGACCTGATACTACCACTGTGCACCAGCAAAGGGTCACTTCATCAAACACCATGAAGAAATACATTAACACTTCAGAGCAGAAGGAAAATGACAAGTCTCCAGAAACAAATTCTGAAGTCACAGAAATTTACATTTGAGTGACAGAGAATTCAAAATAGTTGTCATAAAGAAACTCAACGAGTTACAAGAAAACTCAGACAGCTCAGTGAGCTCAGGAATAAAATTAATGAGCAGAAGGAATACTTCACGAAAGAGATTGAAACTCTTAAAAAAAAAAAAAAAAACCCAGAAATTCTGGAGATGAAGAACACAATGAATGAGATAAAAAAAACTATCTAGAATCCTTAGAAAACAGAGCTGATGTTATAGAGGACAGAATAGTAATTTAGAGGACAGAAGTATAGAGATGCTTCAGGTGGAGGAGGAGAGAGAACTAAGACTTTAAAAAAAAAAAGGAGGAAATTCTTTGAGAATTATCTGAGTCAATTAAGAAATGCAACATAAGGATTATAGGTATTCCAGAGGGAGGTATCTCCAGAGGGAGAAAGGAGCAGAGAGCTTGTTCAAAGAAATAATAGTTGAGAATTCCCCAAACCTGGGGAAGAAACTGGACTTACAAGTATATGATGTCAATAGAACTCCTAATTACATCAATGCAAAAAGACCTTCTCCGAGGCATATAATAGTAAAACTGGCAAGTTGATGACAAAGAAAAAAATGTTAAGGTCAGCAAGGCAGAAACAAATAACCTACAAAGGAACCCGTGTCAGGCTCTCATCCGACTTCTCAGCAGAAAACTTACAGGCTAGGAGAGGTTGGAATGATACATTCAAAATACTGAAAGACAAGTCTTTCAGCCAAGAATACTCTATCTGGTGACACTATCCTTCAGAGATGATGGAGAAATAAAAGCTTTCCCAGATAAACAAAACCTGAGGGAGTTCATCACCACTAGTTCTCCCTTACAAGAAATGATCAAGAAGGCCCTCAGACCTGAAACAAAAAGGCAAAGGATTACAAAGCCTTGAGCAAGGAGGTAAATAGACAGACAAAATCAGAAAATTGCAGCTCGTTATCAGAACAGGTTAGCAAACAATTATAAAAGACAAAGGGAAGGAAAGCATCAAAAATAACTATGAACACTTCATTTTAATCACAGACTCACAACACAAAACAGAATAATTTGTGGCAATAACTTAGAAGGGGAAGAGGAGAGGGGTGGAACCTGCTTAGGCTGATGGAGATAAGAGGCTATCAGGAAATCAACTATCTCATCTATGAGATCTTTTACACAAACCTCATAGTAACCACTAAACAGAAAATCAGAGCAGAGACACTAATCATAAATAAAGAGAAAACTGAGAAAACCATCACAGAAAACCACCAAACTGAACTGGCAGTCAGAAATACAAGAGAAGAGAAACAAGGGAAGTGTAGAACAACTGGAAAACAAGAGATAAAATGACAGCGTTAAGCCCTCATATATCAATAATCACTCTAAATGTAAATGAATTGAATTCTCCAATCAAAAGACACAGAGTAGCTGGATGGATTAAAAAACAAGACCCAACAATATGCTGCCTCCAGGAAACACAACTCAGCTCTAAAGACAAACCCAGGCTCACAGTGAGGCCAACATCACCCTGATACCAAAACCAGACAAGGACAACACAAAGAAAGACAGTTACAGGTTAATATCACTGATGAACATAGATGCAAAAATCCTCAACAAAATATTGGCAAACCAAACACAGCAATTCATTAGAAGGACTGTATACCATGATCAAGTGGGATTTATACCAGGGACGCAGGGAGAGTTCAACGTCTGCAAATCAATGTGATACACCACATTAATGAAATGAGGAATAAAAATCACTTGATCATCTCAATAGATGCAGAGAAAGCATTTGACAAGATCCAACATCCATTTATGATAAAAACTCTCACTAAAATGGGTCTGGAAGGAAAATAATTGAACATAATAAAGGCCATATATGGCAAACCCACAATCAACATCATACTCAATGGTGGAAAACTGAAAGCCATCCCTCTGAGAACAGTAACAAGACAAGGGTGCCCACTCTCACCACTCTTATTCAACATAGGACTGGGGGTTTTGGCCTGAGCAGTTAGGTAAGAAAAAGAAATAAAAGGTATCCAAATTGGAAAGGAAGACGTGAAACTCTTGCTGTTTGCAGACAACAAGATCCTATATGTAGAAAACCCAAAAGAATCCATCAGAAAACTATTAGAAATAATCAACAACTACAGCAAAGTTTCAGGGTACAAAATACACTAACAAAAATCAGTTGCATTTCTATACACTAATAACGAACTAGCAGAAAGAGAACTCAAGAATACAATCCCATTTACAATCACAACAAAAAGAATAAAATATCCAGAAATAAATTTACCAAGAGGTGAAAGACCTATACACTCAAAACTGTAAGACATTATTGAAAGAAATCAAAGATGACATAAAGAAATGAAAGATATTCTAAGTAATGGATCGGAAGAATAAACATAGTTGAAATGTCTCTATTACCTAAAGCAATCTGCAGATTCAGTGCAATCCCAATCAGAATCCCAGTGACATTCTTCACAAAGTAGGACAGAGAATCCTAAAATTCATATGGAAGACAAAATGACCACAAAGAGCTAAAGCAATCCTGAGAAAAAAGAACAAAGCTGGAGACATCACAATCCTTGACTTCAAAATATACTCCAAAACTATAAGAATCAGAACAGCATGGTCCTGGCAGAAAAACACACACACAGATCATGGAACAGAATTGAAAGCCCAAAACTAAAACCATATATCTATGAACAGCTAATCTTCAACAAAGGAGCCAAGAACATCCAATGGAGAAAGGAAGGTCTCTTCAATAAATGGTGTTGGGAAAACTGGACAGCCACATGCAAAAGACTGAAAGTAGACCATTATCTTGCACCATAGACAAAAATTAACTCAGATCAAAGACTTGAATGTAAGATGTGAAACCATAAAACTTCTAGAAGCAAATATATGCAGTATGCTCTGACATTGATCTCAGCAGCATATTTTTGAATACTATGTCTATTCAGACATGGGAAACAAAAGAAAAAATAAACAAATGGGACTGCATCAGACTAAAGAGCGTCTGCAAGGCAAAGGAAACCATGCACAAATCGAAAAGACAACCCACCAACTGGGAGAAAATATTTGCAAATTATATATCTGACAAGGGGTTAATCTCCAAAATATATAAAGAACTCATACAACTCAACAACAACAAAAAAAAACAAACACCCTCATCAAAAAATGGGCAGAGGATGTGAACAGACATTTTTCCAAAGAAGATATACAGATGGCCAACATATACATGAAAAAATATTCAACATCACTAATTATTGGGGAAATGCAAATCAAAACTACAATGAGATATAATCTTACACCTGACAGAATGGCTATAATCGCCAAGGCAAAAGATACCAAATGTTGGAGAGGGTGTGGAGAAAAGGGAACCCTCATACACTGCTGGTGGGAATGCAAACTGGTGTAGTCACTGTGGAAAACAGTATGGAGATTTCTCAAAAAAACAAAAATAGAAATACCATACAATCCAGCTATCACACTACTGGATATTTATCCAAAGCACTTGAAATCAACAATTCAAAGAAATTTATGCACTGGTATGTTCATTGCAGCATTATTCACAATAGCCAAGATGTGGAAGCAACCCAAGTGCCCATCAACTGATGATTGGATAAAGAAGATGTGGTATATATATACAATAGAATACTACTCAGCCATAAAAAAGACAAAATCGTCCCATTTGCAACAACATGGATGGACCTTGAGGGTATTCTGTTAAGTGAAATAAGCCAGACAGAGGGAGTCGAACACCATGTGATCTCATTCATATGTGGAACATAAACAAACACATGGACAAAGAGAATAGATTAGTGGTTGCTAGAGGGGAACGGAGTTGGGGGGCTGGGCAAAAGGGGTAAAGGGACACATTTATATGGTGATGGATAAAAATTAGACATGGTGGTGAGCACGATGCAGTCTGTACAGAAACTGATAAACAATAATGTACACCTGCAATTACACAATGTTATAAACCATTATGACTTCAATAAAATAATTGAAAAAAAGAAAGAGTTGACGAGAACTGGCCGGGGGAGCTGCTTCCTCTCGTGACCGCCCCTCATCAGGGGCTGATCTGTCAGCAGAGACGGGCCTGCCGCGTGCCGCCCGAGTTAGGAGAACCACCGCTCCGGACGTCCCGCCTTAGAGCCTGGTTTCTTAACCTTTTGTAGGTGTCAGGCGCCTCTGGGACTCTGATGAGTGCCCTAGACACGCCCCAGAACAAAGCACTCACACATAGACCCAAGTTGCCCACAGTTTCAAAGGGTTTATGGACCCGCTGAAGCCATTAGTGGACACCAGGTAGGACCCCTGCCTTGACTCTTTGCCCCTCACTCCTCCCCTGGCTCCCACCCCCAGCTGGAGGTGCCCACCTCTCGCTTCTCATCACTGCACCCTCCCAGCTAGTTCTCCACCTCCTGGCCTGGGTGGGCGTGGGGAAGGGCAGGTGCAGGTGTCAAGGAGAGGTTACATTTGAGATGAGTCTTAAGGGCTAACCAGTCCTTACTCAGATGGACAGACATGGGGAAGGCAGGCAGGCAGTCGGCACAGCTTAAATAAAGGCTTGCAGGCATAAAGCACCTGGTAGGTTTGAAGAAGCTGAGAGGGCACCCTGGAAGGTGATGCCAGCCAGACAGATAGGCAGGGCCTGGAGAATTTTCAACCAGGTCCAAGGGTTTGGCCTTTACCCTCTGCATCCCTCACTCGCTCTTTGGGATTCCGCCAGCTGGGAAGGTTGGGCGTGAGCTCCTGCGGCCTCGCCCCACGACAGCCACGGCCTGACCCTCACCCGGCTCTACTCTCTCTGCAGGTGCATTTCTCATCCCGTATTTTATTTTCCTGTTTGGGGGCGGCCTGCCTGTGTTTTTCCTGGAGGTAATCATAGGCCAGTACACCTCTGAAGGGGGCATCACCTGCTGGGAAAAGATCTGCCCCTTGTTCTCTGGTGAGTATGGGGCAGAGGTCACCCGGGCCTGGTGTTCATCAATTCAGCCAGTTTTTGTGGAGTACCTACTATTTGCCAGGTACATTGGAGCCGGATGTGAGTCACTTGGCACTGTGCCTGACTGTAGGTAGCAGCCAGTACGTTATACACGTGACACCGCTGCTCACAGTAACTGCTCCACACGTGCCAGCTGTCCCGCCTCTCTGGGTTGTTGGAGGGTCGGTAAGCTGGCAGCTGCTTCGCAGCACAGTGCAGGAGACGAGCACTCGGGTTCAGGAGCCTTTCTGTCTGGGTTCGAGTCTCACTCCCTCCTCCTGCCAACTCTTGTGATTTTGCAAAAGTCACTTAATCTCTTTGTGCCTCAATTTCCTCATCCATAAAATGGAAATAACATGCTTACTCTGTAGGGTTGCTATGAAGAGAAAATGGCATAGCCATATAAAAGTGCTTTGTGCACATAGTAAGCCCCGAATTAACGGTAGCTTTATTACTATTATAACATTGTGTCCCATGCCTAGTACCGAGTATACACTCATAAGATAATACTGTTATGATTATAATTGGCAGGCATGGGAGGATGTGTGTCTATTCATTCAGTTATCTATATAAATCTATCCATCCATTAATCCTTTTTTCCATTAAACTAGTTAATAGTTAGACCATCCATCCATCCATTCATACTCATCTACTCATTCATCCATCCATCCATCTACCTAATCTCCCAACCAACCACCATCCCTACATCCATCTAACAAATCGAGTATCCATCCATCAATCCAGCACCCAAGCCTTCAGCTATCGGACCATCTAACCATCCATCCAACCAACCATCCATCTCTTCATCCATCCGTCAGCTATTCATTTATCTAACCACCCATTCATTGATCTAGCCCTCCTCCATACATCCTTCGATTCATCCAACTCTCCCATTTATCTAACCATCCATTCTTTCACCTCTCTATCCATCCAATCATCCATTCATCCTGCAAATATTTGCTGCTCACTATTGAAGGGTCCCTTCTGGTCCCAGGCCTAGAGACGCCAGGGCCTTGCAGATGAGTTTGTGGCCATGGTAGGGCTGGCCTCCCTCCTGATGCTCCCCTTGCTTGCTCATCCCTGCAGGCATCGGCTATGCCTCCATCGTGATCGTGTCCCTCCTGAATATATACTACATTGTCATCCTGGCCTGGGCCACATACTACCTGTTCCAGTCCTTCCAGTCGGAGCTGCCCTGGGCGCACTGCAACCACAGCTGGAACACGCCCCAGTGCCTGGAGGACACTTTGCGCAAGAACAAGAGCCTGTGGGACAGCCTCAACACCAGCAACTTCACCTCCCCTGTCACCGAGTTCTGGGAGTAAGGCCGGCCTCACTGAAGGAAGGAGGGGAGGGCGTGGGGTGGGTGCAAAGAGGACAGCCAGCTCCCTCATCTCCTCCCCAGGGGAGTGGGAACAACTATCTTGGGTTCGGTGGAAGGAGGGTACAGATTTGGAGATAAATCCATGCCTTTGGTCTCCGACAGGCCTGGAGTCAAATCCCACTTCTACCATTTTACTGACTGTTGGACCTTCAGCCAGTCACTGCCCCTTTCTGAGCCTCAGTTTCTTTAACTGTCAAACAAGGGGAATGAATCGTCCCTACACCCCTGGGATCTCTGTAGGCACTGTTTCCCAAAGGCAGGTATATGTACTTATGGTGTCTGAAAATGATGTATATTAGGAAAAAGATAGTGAGCACATCAAAGCTGTTATTGCCCAGAGAAGGACGCACACATGAAGCCGAGGTAGTTACTCAAGTGAAAGGGTGAGTAGACACAGTGAAAATACGTATCAGTTAGCTTTTGCTGTGTAACAACCACCCCAGACTCTAACCAGCGACCATTTATTTGGCTCATGGTTCTGCTGGTGGCAGTTTGGGCTGAGCTTGGCTGGGCAGTTCTTCTGGTCTGTGCTGGGCTCCCTCACGGGTAGCTCAGATGTAGGGCATCAGGGCAGCTCTTCTGGCGATTGGCTGGCTGGTGGCTGGGGTGCCAGGGGAAACTGGTGCCAATTAGTCCAGCAGGCTAGCCTGGGCTTGTTCATCGTGGCTCAGCATTCCAGAATCAACCAGTGGGAATGCCCCAATTCAGGAGCACTTTTCAAGCCTCTGCTTGTGTCATTTTTGTTAACGTCCCATTGGCCAGAGAAAGCCACCAGACCAACCTAGGTTCAAGAGCTGGGGAAATACGCTCTGTGTCTTTATGAGAAGAGTGGAGAATTAGGGGCATTTTCACAGTGTACCACAGTACAGTCAATAACTACAGGAGTATACACAGAGGACAGACATCAGAAAGGCAGAATATGGAGACCTGAAGGCGGGGAATTCTTAGCTGGCGTACAGGGAAGTCCTTCGAACACAGTGCTTGGGGGCCAACCAAAAATGTATTAGTGCCTCACTTCCCTTCGCTCCGTGAGCTGTCAGACATGGGGCTCCGCACTTGGGTGCGGCCCCTCAGCCTGGAAAGAACTGAGGGAAGGCCTTGCGTGGGGGCCGAGAGCCAGGGGCGGGGACAGAGTTAAGGAAGGGGGTGATCCCTCGTCATCACGAGATGATGCCCCCTCTCTTTTGTGTGTGACTTTGCTGTTTCCAGGTGTCCCCCACCTCTCTGAACCTGGCGCAGGAGCAGGCCCGCAGAAGAGGGGGCTGCCCGCTGACTGGCCCCAGCCAGACTTCAGGGCCGGGGCTGGGACACTGTGGGCGAGCAAGGCTCAGTCGGCCCTCACTGGTGTGGTGCATGTCTCCATCATGACATGCAGGCCTTCCGTGTGTGCTCACGGGTCCCTAGGGCTTGTGGACGTGTTTTCCACTTGCAGACAAAGAGGCGTTACAAGCACGTTCATCCTCCTCAGCTTCCCCCTCTGGAGAGCTGAGTTTACAGAGAAAGAAATGCAAGCGCTTCATTCTTTGCTTGAATGGAGCCCGAGGCCACAGCCCTGCTCGTCCTCTGCTGTTCCTGGCACAGCCTCGCCGCCCGGGGCCCACCCCACCCGGGACACTGGCACTCAGCCGGCCACGCGGGTGCCGGCCGGGGCCTCGTTGCCTCGGGCATGGCCTGGCTGCCTGGATTCAAACCCTCACTCTGCCACTTCTAGCTCAGGCAGGTGCCTTTCCCTCTCTGGGCCTCACTGTCCTCACCTGGACTTCAGGGCACTGTCCTCAGGGTTGTAGAGCCGCCTAAACTGAATGAGATCGTGAATGGCCAGCCCTGAGAACCTGTTTATTTGATGTCCTCATAGTGGGTACAACTGCTCCCCTCGGGCATTTGGAACTCAAGTGACACGACCTCCAGAGAGACTGAGAACGGCCCCTTCTCAAATGCCCGTGTGGCCCCCCTGTTGCACAGGGGCTGTCCTCTGCTCCGCTCCCTGCTCTCGGAGGCCCGAGGGCTCCTGAGGAGGAGTTCACAGGAGTGATGAGGTCCTCAGGGTGTCAGTCCTCACCCGTGCCCTCTCCCCTGCCCGTCCCCCAGACTGGGCTCTCCTGGGGGGTCCTGGGTGCCCCCCCTTCCGGAATCCCTATTCTGAGTGCCCCAGCTCCCTTTCCTGGCCCAGAAGACATTAGCAGTGTTTGTCTTCAGAAATGTCCTGCCCTGCAGGCACCTGCCCAGGCCCCACACGATGCAGGTGGACTTGCTCAGTCCATGGAGTATGAGCCGCTGGCCTGATGCTCACCTCCCGCTCCAGCCTTCACACCGCCTCCCCCAGCTTCTAGCAGAGCTTTGTGAGTCCATCCAAACACCCACAAAGAACTTGCCTCCTTTCTAGAGCCCTGGGGAGGAACAGGGATCACAGAGGGGGAGCTTTGAAAGTAGGCTTAGGTGAAAGGAACAGGCCTGTCAGCTGTGTGAGCAGAGCAAATAAATTTTATTTTACTTCTAGTGAAGGCTTTGATTTCAACTCACCAAGAAGCCAACCCACTTTGGTTCACTAATACTTGTATTATACCCAGGTTACAGATAAGACAGCTGAGGCCCAGAGAGGTTAAGCAGCATGCCCAAGGTCACACAGCAAGTGAAACAGCAAGCTAGGCTCCAGACCCCCTGCCTTGGAGGAGATTCTTGAATCCAACAGCGGCAGGTGTTGCCACAGGCCCCCCTGAATCCCTGTCATCCCCCGCAGGTTGTCTACTTCACGGCCACTTTCCCGTTCGCCATGCTCCTGGTGCTGCTGATCCGGGGACTGACGCTGCCCGGCGCAGGCGCAGGCATCAAGTTCTACCTGTACCCCGACATCAGCCGCCTTGAGGACCCACAGGTACCGCGGGGCCGCCCGTCCTCCCTCCCATCCGGCGGGCAGGGCAGGGTGTGGGGGCAGCTAAGCGGGCAGCACAGTTTCTGTGGCTCCTCCGTGTGCAGATCTAGCTGGGCCATCAGCCCCTGCTCCTTTTCTGCTGGGCTGTGGCGGGTCGTTCGCTGCGCTCGGGGGCCTTTCCAGCTGTGTGTGGCCCTTTTCATGTCGAGCACTCCTGAGACGGGCCAGTTATAGTCTCGTTTAGGCGCTGAGCCAGGTAAGCGAAGTCTTCAAGAGCTAGTCTCCTCCTCCGACCCCGCCTCTGCCCTCGGCGGCCGGCCGGGCTGACTGAGGGAGGGGAAGAGTCGGCTGGGAGAGCTGCTGGCTTCCTGGCCGAGGACGGAATTCAGAGGTGGTGGCCTCTTGGAAGGTTGACGGGCAGATTCTGAGTGTCCACCTCCTGGCCCCCAGCCGCGTGACTGCAGGGGTTGGACAAAACCCTGGGAGATTCACTGGTCCGTTTAAGGACCTTTGGTCCCCAGCCTCCAGTTGCCTCCAGGGGCCTGTGCTGCTTCAGGTTTCCTTCAGCACTGTCCTTGGATGTGCGGGGGCTTGGCCAGCATCAAGGGACAGCTGGGAAGGCAGCTCTGTGGCCATCAGGACCTGCCCGATGAAGGTTCTGGAGAGAGGCTTTACCCCCATAATCAGTGAGGGAATTATTCCCCATTCCAACTCAGGGGCCCCAGGACAATATCACAGTAGTGGTAGCAGCCTTGACTTACAGGTCACCGTGTGTCTGGCACTGGGCTAAATCTTTACTCTTTGAACCCACAAAATAGCACTGGAAAGGCACCTTGGATTCCAGCACAGACGCTCCAAGTGCATTCGAGAGTCTGCACACTTTGAGGTGCAGTCCTGCGTGGCCAGGTGGCAGGACCCACGCCGCCTCCTCCAGGAAGCCGGCTCTAACAGCCCCTTCTCTCTCTCCTTGCCCCCCACACCCCCGTAGGTATGGATCGATGCTGGGACCCAAATATTTTTCTCCTATGCCATCTGCTTGGGGGCCATGACCTCGCTGGGGAGCTACAACAAGTACAAGTACAACTCGTACAGGCAAGTGTCGCGCCGGCGGGCCTGGTGGAGCTTGGAAATGCTGATGACGTTTAAAGAGAAGTAGGGAGCGTGTCTTCCTCGCGTTGTGAATTAACTTGCTCCCTGACGTGTGTGACTTAGGGACTGTATGCTGCTGGGATGCCTCAACAGTGGTACCAGTTTTGTGTCTGGCTTCGCAATTTTTTCCATCCTGGGCTTCATGGCACAAGAGCAAGGGGTGGACATTGCTGATGTGGCTGAGTCAGGTATGGTGGTATTGGTGGCAGTGGTGGTGGGCACTGCCACCTAGTGTGTAAGACGAGTACTGCAGGCATGAAGCCAGACCCCAGGGGGCTTTGGGGGGGGGGGCGAGCCTGGTTTCTGAAATGGACCCCCCCCACCAAGATGTCCCCCAAGTACCAGAGAGTACAAAAGCTAAATTTTAAGTACTTTCATTGCAATTTGGCCCAAGGGGCAGCAGGAACGTGGGGGCTGGTTAAGTTGGGGAATATTTAGCTACTTTCCTGTGGTCTTCCCCCCTCCCCCTCCTTCCCCAGCAAACTCCTGGTTTCAGCAACAGAAGCCACTTTCCTAACTGAGGCCAAAGTCGGCCACCAATTGTTTACATTGATCTGTTCTTTAAACAGTTAGGAACGAGCCCCTCCTGTGGGCCGGGCACTGGGCTGAATGAGTGAAATGGGAGCAGTCATTTTCTGTGCAAATCCGAAATCTGGAAATAGCATGTTAATTTGCAGAAACTGCAGGCAGTCTGTTATCTGCAAGGTGCCTTGGAACGGCCTGGGGAGTGTCCTGTTTTGTGAGAGAGGATGCCAGGCCAGGGCGGCTTCATGCTCATCTGCCTGCAGGTGCAGGACGAGGTATGACATTCGGGGACAACAAACATGGGCCCCCGGTGCCGCTGTCAGCAGGTGCCTGGGGAATGGGACCCGTCCGTTCCTGAATCACGAGGTCCACGGTTGCCTAGAGGGAGTCCTACTCCCTCAGGATGTTGTCAGAGCAGTGGACAGACAGGGCGATGGCAGGGCCCCTGCCGCAGGCCTGGGTGGGTCAGAGCCGGCCCCGAGGGTGAGGAGGAGGAGGCTGTGCTGAAGACACGTGGGCTCCCTATGACCTCACGGTGGGCTCTGCTTTGTCCCCCGTAGAAAGCAAGGAGATGGCCACCAAGGAGAAGCTGCAGTGTCTGAAAGACTTCCACAAGGACATCCTGAAGCCATCGCCAGAGAAGAGCCCGGGCACGCGGCCTGAGGCCGAGGCCGAGGCCGAGGGGAAGCCCCCGCAGAGGGAGAAGTGGTCCAGCAAGATGGACTTTGTGCTGTCTGTGGCCGGCGGCTTCATCAGCTTGGGCAACGTCTGGCGTTTCCCATACCTCTGCTACAAAAACGGTGGAGGTGAGCCCACGCTAGGCAGAGAGTGGCACTGGAGGAGAAATTGGGGCCAGAGCGTGGGTGGCCCCTACCTGCTTTACACACCGCCCACGCTCCCCCCACCCTGCCCGATCTCCTGATTTCTCACGGCCTCTCCGCGGCTTCCTGGAGGCAGGCGAAGGTCCTGGGCTGAGGCTCCTCTTAGGACCAGAAGAGAGTAGACGGTCCTGGCTCCAGGGACCACCACAGACCAGGGTCAGGCAGAGCCAGCGTCCCCACCGTGGCGTTGCCCTTGCCCTTGTTGGACACGACGGGCAGTGTCCTGGTTCCCCAGCCACAGAACCCCAGCCCTGGGGGTCAGGGCTGCCTCAGCCTTGTCCATTCAGGTGAGGAGACCAGCGACTTGAGAGCAAGGGCCTTGCTCGGGCTGGTCAGGGTCAGAGCTGGGGTCTCCTAGACAAGGAGTCCCCACATGCTGGCAGGCCCCTCAGACGTGATCGTCTCTCCCCTCCGGCCTCCCCACTCTACCCTGGACATATGTGACGACCTCTGGCCCTTCTGTCTGGGCTCCTCTGACCTTTCAGACCCCTGGGCCTGCCTTCCTCCTCGCTTCCCATCCTCACACCCGCTGCAGGACGAGCTCAGCAAGTCCACGCCTCGGCCCCACGCCTCTCTCCACTGCCCCCGGTCCCAGATCGGACCTTGGACATAGTTTTCCTTCCCTGAGAGCCCCAGAAGACCACCTGCTTGGCAGTTGGCAGTTAGCATGAGGAGGGGACAGTTCACGCCTCCTTTGCAGCTTTTCCCAGTTCTGAAGGATGGGGAGCCGCAGGAGTGTGGAGGGAGCCTGGGCGGGGAGATGCGTATCAGTATATGAAACAGACTTTCCTGAGTGGACAGCGAGGTGTCTTTGTACGTGTGTGTCATCGACCTAAGTTGCTTCTTCCCTCCCGTCCTGTCCAAGCCCTTGTCCTTGATTCCCCACGTGATGTCTGAAGAGCCCACACGATTATTTCTCGCATAAGCTTTTAACAAGCACCGTATTGAGCGAAATAATTATCTTTGAACAAGGTAATTACTTAGCCGCAGGAGAGTGGGGTGGCGCTCATCCTCTGCTGGGAGAGGCAGGCGGGGGTGCTGGCGGCCGCCGTGTTCCACGTGGACTTCTCCCTCTGATGCCCTGTGCGCTTGTAGAGAAGGACGCTCGGGCCCTCTCCTGGGGTATGGCTGGAGAAGGCAAAACTGAAGTACAGAAATGGGTGTGTTGAGAACCTCCTCGAGGGTGGGGCTGCGGGTGGAGGTGGGGGCCCGGTTCACATCTGTCTCGCAGTCGGCTGGACCTGATCCCTCGCGCGGTGACGTTGACCAGTCAGGGCCAGAGCTGACGTGGGGGCACCAGGGGCCCCAGTCGAGGTGGAAAGGCTGCAACCTGGACTCTGGGGTGGGTACGAGCACCCCCCACCACTTCTCGTGGGGTTTTCTAGCATCGCCGCCCGAGGACACTCGGTCACCGTCGGGTTTTCCTCAGGCCGAGTGGACGCTGGGCTGTTCCAGGACTTGCCTCGCCCGCCACATTTGTGGTTAACGCTGTACGATGTACTTTCTGGCTCCACTTTATTTCCAAGTTGTTTTTTTAATTCTTAAACCGCTCATTTTGTTTCTGATATCTGTTTTAAATATCCTGGCCTCCAGCCCTTTCTGTTTCACATTTCTTGACCTCTTTTGTTTCAGTCGTGGATTTTACTGTATGTTCTCAGCCCAGGCCCCTTAGGCGTCATTGTTTTTGCTGCTCCTGCCGCCTCCTGGACCCACCGGTCTCGGTCACAGCTCAGTTCTCCCCGGCGTCTTCTCTCAGGCCGGCTGCAGACAGGAGGGGACATTTCTCTGAGGCCCTGGAATGTTTCCAGTCAGAAAGGTGCCCCCTGAGCTGATGGGCTCCTGTCTCCCCAACCTGCCTCCAGATCCCGGCAGAGGCCCCTCTGAGGAAGCCAGAAGCCCTTTTCTGGGGAAAAGGCATCTGCATCTGGGAACCTGAACACGAGAAGGCTCCTTGGGAGCCGTTTCCCGTTACCTGCCCCTCAGTTCTCAGGCGGGGAAACTGAGGCCCGGTGAGGGCATGTGGTGCTGTGCGTAGGAGGTGGAGGAATGAGGGCTGGAAGGGAGGCCCGGGTCTTCCGAGCCTGGGGTCTCGCACACGCACGCCTCGACGCTGTTCAGGGGTCTCAGATGCGCCCCTGCAGACGCGCCCCTGTGGGGCCGGCTTCTGTGTTCTCTTGTCTCCCACTCCTGCAGCGTTTAGGTAGAAACCTTGTGGTTGCAAACGGGCTTCAGTCCTCAGATAACCACAGCCTTCCCCCTTGGCTTCCTTCTAGCAAACATTGGCATCAGTGGCTCTGGTTTTGGGAGAGACCCTCCCTTTCCAAGCCGGCAGACTGAGTCCACGCTCAGTCCCGTCTTCTACCCGGATACCCAGTGTCCGGCCGGATTCTGGTGTGTGAGGGGGCCACTTGGGCTGAGTGTAGGAGACAGATGCGAACACGGGCCCCGCCTGAGCCCCAGTGCGCCCCACCCAAATGTGAGAGGGGCTGGTGTCTTCCCCCAGGCAAGAATTCAGACCTGGCTCCTCCTCCCTGCTTTTTGGGTTTGGGAGACCTGCCTCAGACCCGAGTGTCTTGTGTGAGCTCCGTGCTCACCCGGGCGGCTCGGTCGCTGATGTGTCTCCCTTCTGCCCCTCCCCCTTCCTCTTCCCTTCAGGTCCTGGCGTGGCCTTCATCGCCTACCCTAAAGCTGTGACCATGATGCCGCTGCCCACATTTTGGTCCATTCTCTTCTTTATCAATCATGCTGCTCCTGCTTGGGCTGGACAGCCAGGTATGTAGAGGTGGAGGGACGGCCCTAGAGTGAGACTGCCCGCGGTGAGCCCGGTTCTGGAAAAGCCCCTCCTCTGCGCTGCGTGAGGTGGTCAGGCGGTCAGGCCCCTTCCCACCCGCACATTAGACTTGCAGCAACTGCGGCCAGCAGTGTCTCTGCTCAGGGCACCAGGTGACCGCTGCCTGGCCCATCATGGCTAGTCCTCAGTGTCCTGTGCTTCCTGGAGCCCGTGCACAGGGGAGCCCGCCCCTTGCTGTGAGACCATGACCAGAACAGCTAAGCACTCACAGCCTCGCTCAGACCTGCCCTGGCCTCTGGCTGTCCTGGCTTCTGCTGATCACGTACATACCCCTGACCTATAACAAAGTCTGCTTGGGCCCTCGGGCTGGGCTGGAGCCTGGCCCTGTCCTCCATGTTGTGTGTCCCCTTGGTCGTGGTCATCCGCCCCTGCCAGACGAAAGGGCCATTCCTTGTGGTGAGCATGCAGGACCCTGAGGCTAGACTATGTGGGGAGGACGAGAGGCTGAAAGCCAGGTGGATGTTGGTTTGCTGTGTGACCTTGGGTACGTTGCTTGCCCTCTCTTGAGTCCAAGACCTCTCACCTGCCCCACAGAGTGGGTGAGATTGTGGGCAGGAGAGTGCATCATGGGAAACAGGAACAGAGAACAGTTCACATGGGAGAAGGCTCTGTGGGGACGTTCAGACAGGGCTGTGGGCACGAGGAAGGATTTGCCAAGCAGAGGATGCGAGATGGAGGGTGTGGGGCACGAGGCATTCGTAGACAAGGAGCTGTGACAGCGCTTGGGCAGCAGTGACATGTTCTGGGGCGTGGGCGATGAGGCTGGAGAGGTGACGGTGGCTTTGGGTGCCAAGCTAAGATCTAGCGCTTTATCCTGGGAGTAGTGGGGTCCATGTTTCTGAGGTGGTGAGACAAGAGACAAGGAGCCGGGAGGAAGCCTGAGCTCCACCCAGAAGCCCTCTGCCACCCCCGGCCACGTCTCAGATAAGCCGAGCCCACACTGGGGACCCCTCCCCAATCTGTGGCCACACCTGCCGCCCGACCCTCAGATGACACCCCTGCACAAGGCGGAGCCTGCAGCTTCCAGGCCTCTGTGCCTGCCCAGCCCCGCCCCCGGCCCCTGCCCACCGCTCAGCTCTTGGAAATTCCTCCAGCAATCCTGGAGATGCCAGGCTCTTTCCAAGAAAGGCTTTTCTTAGCTTCTCTCTTAACCTTGAGCTTGGGCTGGCTCCAAGGCTGCACTGTTTTGTTCTGGGCTGTTTTATTGTTATTCTTAAAAATCTGGAGCCAGGATGTCCTGGGGCCCTGGCTCCCCCATGGGTAGGGCCGGTTTCCTGCTGGGCAGGGGAATGGCCTGGAGGTGGTGCTGGTTGGGGAGAGAGGAGGCTGGGCACAAAGGGAGCAAGCCGAGGACAGAAGCAGGGGTGTGTGAGGGAGGACGACATGATGCCAGGGTCAGTCTGAGCTGCGACGGCCCTTGGGGGATTCCTGCAGCATTAGACCATTGTGTTTTCTCAGGGGACACAGGCAAGGACCCCAGTGTTCAGGCAGAAGGCTGATCGGCCCTATCATTTCTTAGAATACTGGAATACTGGGCCTGGTGACAGATGAGTAATAGCTGCTGCCCTGAGCCCTCCAGGTGGCCCTCAAATGCCCCATGCCAACCCAGCCCCTCCCTGGGAATTTCCAGAATGCCCCTGCCACCCAGAAACTGAAGGTTAACTGGGTCTTGGATGTCTGTTCTGGTTGGTCAATGCCGCAGCAATTACATATTTCAGCCACGAGGAGGAGCACGTCCAACAGGTCACTAACGTGTCCCTTCAAAACTCAATTTAAAAATATCGTAGAACCAAAGCCGCCTCCTCTGCAGGCGATTGAGCCCCATCCATCCGTCTTCGCCCTGGGCCCCTCGACCCCCCACCTGCACAGGGTGCCGAGGTGTCCTCCCAGCCCCTAACTTCTCTCTGCGCCCGACCGGCCAACCCCGAGCTCTGTCCTGGGCGGATTCCAGCTGCGTCTGCGCCCCCCTTATGCACAGAGCCCCGGGTGTTGCCCGGGGGAGCACGCCCCTTGTCTCACCTTCCGGGAGCACACCTGCTGTCCAGAGGCACCGAGAGGCAAAGCGATGCAAGGGGAGCAGAGCCTGCTCTCCGCTGGTGTTCCACCCCTCGCCCTTTACCTGGGCCTCCAGTCTCCTCCTCCAGGGACCAGAGGGGCAGCCCAGATGAGGGGAGCCCCGGGCAGGGCTGGGAGTGAACTGGAGAAGGCCATGGAAATCCACAGCAGGCCGCGCTCATCAGCTCTGGCCCGTTGTCACCAAGAGAGGATGTGGGTCTGGGGTCGCCGGGTCTTGCAATGTTTTAGGGGCAGATGGAAATCTGGATTTTCAAATGAAATATTGTAGCTTTTAATAGCAGCTTTTAAGCACTTGTTGTATACCTACGTTGAATGTCACTGCCTGGAGAGTTTGTGGTTTCCAACTGCTTCCTCTTTACGTCTCTGGCGAGGAGGTGGGCTGGGCGGCCAGAGCCCTGAGTTGGAGTCCCGGTCCTGCTCTGGCTGGCTGGGTGGCCAGGGGGGCCTTTCCCTCCCAGACTCCACGATCAGGCTGCCAGCGGGGAGGACGAAACTCGCCCTGCCCGGGGATCCTGTGCGAATTCTCGGGCGGCGCCGCCTCTGGCCCCTCTGGGGGAGGCCCAGCTCCGACACAAGCAGTGGTCTCCCAGCCCTCGCAGGGAGAGCTGCACGCCCGCAGGGAGATGGGGAGACCCATCTGCAGGGAGGCAGGGATGCAGCTTGTGGGAGGCCAAGGGGGTTGGAGTTTCTCCTTGAGGAAGGTAGAAGCCATGGTAGGCTCCAGACAGTTATATGACCTCGGGCATACAAATTGCAGAAACTTGGCCGCTTTGCAAGTCAGAGAAGTTGGGGGATGGGACTCACAAGGAGGCATATTCCAGCTCCAAGGGAGAAAGAAGTCAGAGCCTGAGGTCTGAGTCACCCTGCCTCTGAGGTGTGGAAGCAGGGCTTGGCCAAGGAACTACCACAGGAATCTTGCCCTGATTCAGGGCCTGGAGGGAGCTTAAGAGTTGAAATGGGAGGTTCAGAGAGGGTAGTAGTTTGCAAAAGGCCAAACAGCACACTGGCAGGACCCAGAGTGGGTGGATGGCTGTGGTCAGGAGGGAAACCAGGTCCCCTGACTCTCCTCCGCTTCTGTCCCCTTCCTTTTCCAGAGACTCAAGTACCTGCTGACCCCCAGGGAACCCAACCGCTGGGCCGTGGAGCGCGAGGGGGCCACGCCCTACAACTCCCGCAGGGCCGTGAACGGGGCTCTCATGAAACCCTCGCACATCCTGGTGGAGACCATGATGTGAGCTCGAGGCCGCGTCGGGCCACTTTCCTGCTGTTTACTAACATTAGATGCCCGTAGGACGAGGTTTACAGAGCTTCAGATTGCACTAGGAGTTTTTCTAATTGTCATAGAAAATGTGTGTGTGTGTGGTGCTGTGCGTATGTGTATTTTGTTTTGATTTGGGGATATTTTGTACAAAAAGAAAACCCACAGGCAGATGTCGGGGGTGAGGCAGAGCCTTCATACTGAATTAGATGTATTTTATGGGAACTTGGTAAATTTTTCTTTGTATTTTTTTTATATACAACTGTATATACACTTAGAGATTGTCATACACTTTTACCACTTGAATTGATCCTGCCAGCAATAGATCTCATTGTTTTTTTTTGTTTGTTTGAGGAAGATTGGCCCTGAGCTAACATCTGCTGCCAATCCTCCTCTTTTTGCTGAGGAAGACGGGCCCTGAGCTAACATCCATGCCCATCTTCCTCTACTTTATACGTGGGACGCCTGCCACAGCATGGCGTGCCAAGCAGTGCCATGTCTGCACCCGGGATCTGAACCAGCAAACCCCGGGCCGCCGAAGTGGAACGTGCGAACTTAACCACTGTGCCACCGGGCCGGCCCCTAGATCTCATTTTTAAAAGCAATTCTTCGGTGCTTGTGTAGCTGGCAGAAAGTTCTGCCCCCAAAAAGTGCAGGGCGGACTTTTCCTGGGCCAACGGGCCCATTTTAAAAGTGCGTAGCACCTTCCAAACGTGGTTCGAGTGGAAGCAAACAGCACCCACCAGCTGGCCAGACCCGGAGGGCCTGGAGAAAGGAGGCCGTGGGGAGACGCCTCGTCACTCTTGTCTTCGCCAAGAAGAGAGACGCCAAGCTAATGAACCAGCCCCTCAAACACAAGGACCGACTCAAAGCTGACAGATGAGGCCCCACAGCAACAGCCTGATTCTAAGAGCCGCAGAAGCCGCTGCACCAGGAGCAAAACCCCACCTTGTGTTTTGAGGTGGACGGTGGAGGTTGGACAGTCAGCAGGACTGTCGGACGGACCGTCAGAGCCACTCATGCAGAGGAGCAGCGAGAGCTCCGAGAGGCTGGGGCGGGCGGGGCCGAGGTGGGAGCCCTCAGGCTGACCGCCCGGCCGCAGTCCTTCCTGGGCGGCCCCCATGGAGACCTGAGCCGTCCGGCAGGAGCTGGCGGTCCCAGGGCTCCGAGCCTCGTGCAGATGGTCTGTTGCATCTTAGTGGGGTCCTGGCAGGTTCAGGCCATTCCCCAGCTGACGTCTCTGGAGGCTGCCTGTCGGAAGGAAGCATGGCGTATTTGTGAGGGACGGGAGGGGAGCGAGTGGACTGGAGGATGCAGGCCAGGCGCACGGAGGGCCTGCGTCAGGAGGCGTCTTTTCTTTCCTCATCTCTCCACTCAGCTCTGTCCTCATCTCCCAGAGGCGGGGAAACTGCTGACAAGCTCTTGTTGAAGATCCCGGCCCAGGGCCACCCTAGCGCCCAGCAGGGAGTGCCAGGAGCGGCTCTGGATTCGGCTGACGCGCTCCCGTCGCTCTCCTCGCAGTTCAGGCACAAGCGCAGCCCTTGGTGGGGCCCTGGGAGAGAAGAGAGCTCTGCCTTTCACAGCCCTGCAGAGCTGGTGTCAGCTGTGCACTACGTGGGAGCCCGTGAGAGGAGGCGAGGGGGCATTTTCTAGAAGGTTGGGGTTTTCAGGGGGCTGGCAGCCCAGACCTGGCTTGACCAAGAGCCTCACGTAGAGCAGCATTCCTCTGAACCAGGAGAGAAGGTGCCCCCCTTTAAAAGCCCCAGTACGGACACGCCCCCACCCCAGCTCCATTGGGACCACAACTGTGTCATTTAGTCAGTCACTTCCAAATGTCTCAACTAAACCAAAACATTGTCACACACAAACGGCACTGCCCGCCTCGCGGGGTGTGCGGAGTGAAGCCCCGCTCAGGTTTTCAGACCAGGGGCTCTCTGGATCCTGGGACCCCCTCCCCAAATTCGGGAGGGGGAGGAGCCTTTAATGTCCCCCTCTCAAGGGACAGAGGCAATTCTGAACCTCTTGCTTTGGCGAGCATTCACATTTCACTGTTTCCAAGGCACATCCTCTGCCGAACGGCACCCAGCCCTGGTCCAAACGCTTCAGTCCTGATGTGTCCTGTCCCCGTGTATCTGTGGTGCCGCTGTGTCTGATTTGATTTTATTGGGTTTTTCCTGAGTAGCAATGTGGCCTGTTTTTCTTTGTCTTACGGAACCTCAGTGAACTAACCGCTCTCAGGGGCTGGGGACGGGTGGCCTGTGGAGGCGAGGGGCGTCTGTGGCTGCCTGGGCATCTGTGGTCGTTTCAGGCTCCACCATCTCCCCTCCTGGGGCTTGGACCCGGGTGAGAGGCTACAGTATTGCGGGTTGGTGGGCAAATGGCAACATTCTGGAAATGGCCCGAGGAAGGCCTCCTCTTATGAGAGTCCCAGACCAATTCTAGACCAAAGACGCATGCAGACCAGCTCCCCAGGCCTCGCCTGGAAGGAAGGTCAGCCACTTCACCCAAGCCCATTCCTCGGCAAGCTCCTGGGGCACCTGTCTCCCCGGCGGCCTCTGGTCAAGTCCCCCAGCTCTGTGTCCGCAGAACTCGGCCCTGCGAGCACAGTGTGCGAGGCCGCGCGGCTTCTCCGTGTCCGCACGCAGAGCTCCCGACTCTGGTTCTCCTGTCTCTGGAGAACGGGCCGTCCTCCGCCCGCTCCCCGCCTGGGATGGGTCAGAAATCCGGAGGCCGACACACAGCCCAGTCAGCCGGATCTGGAAGGGGTGTGAGGGAGATGTTGGAAGAATTTTTTAGGATGCGGAAATGGCTAAGGGCCCCGGGATAAATCTCCCCCAGGGAGATGCTTCGCTGAGCTGGGCGTGGACCGAGTTAATCCCTGCAGTGGACAGGCCTCCAGGGCCCCCCAGCCAACGCCCTCATTGTAAAATGGGGAAACTGAGGCCTGGAGCAGGGAAGAGACTTTGGCACAGCGAGCTGGGAACGGAACCAGCCCCTCTCGGGTCACTTCCAGCTGCAGGGGCTCTGAGACCTCTGTGGCGAGTGGCGAGTGCAGCTCCCTAGGTCTCTCCCTGAAGACCGAAGGCAAGCCTTGATGAAACAGGAAACACTCAATCCCCTGCAGTCAGGGACAAGGTGAGCAGCACCCACCTCGGACCATCCTCAGGGGCCAGCTGGACCCCAGGCTGTGGTTCCGTGGGGCGGGTAGCTGGCCTTCGGTCGGAGGGGCAGCGCCCATTCACCGTGGCCCTGCACCCAGCAGCCCTCTGTGATCTGGGCATTGAGAGCCCTACCGCACAGGAGGAAACTGAGGCCCAGAGAAGCTGGCTGGTGTGCAAGAGGCAGAACGCCTTAGGCAGGATTAGCCAGAGGCCATGTGGGAAATTCCCAGGAGCAGGAGGTGGCCTTGGATGAGTTCTGGGCTCTTTGCAGCTCCCTCTCTGTACCTCTGGTCCCCTGTTCTCGCCCCAGATCCCCAGCACACCCCCAGAGATGGTGGTGAAGCACAAGACGAGAGCAGACCCGTCCCCCCACCCCGGCCTAGCACAGGGCGTCCTGTGTCACCCAGGTGCCACGCACAGTGGTCAGGGCCCAGGCAGCATCACGGGAAGTGCTGAGGGCAGAGGCGCCTCCCTTACCCCCAAGCCTCAGACGCAAGCCAGGAAAGGACCCAAGAGAAACCGCTCCAGGCAGCTAGAGGTTCGTCCAGCCCTCAGACCCAGGCCAGGCGGCCCCAGGCCATCCGCACGGATGTTTTAAATACCGCTGTGCAGAAATTCAACAAGCACAAGACCGCAGAGCACACAAAACCCCGATCCCAGAACTTGGCGTGGGTGCGGGCCCCGGGCCCGGGAGCAGCCTTCGCCCCCTCTCCAGCACCGGCCCTCAGACGCCCCTTGTTTTATGGGAAGCTGCCTCTCCTTGTCCTCTGGGAGATGTCGCTGCTGACGTGTCTGCCTGGTCCTTGAGGGATGGAGCGTCTTGGTGTATATCTGGCTTCAAATCGAGACGTTGGCTCCATTTTTTTTACCCAGTTCATTTTCCAGTCCCCAGCTACTGTGACTCTGTGTTTAGCACAAAACAAAGCTGAGAACGTGGGTCTTGCCTCCTTCCAGAAATATGTCTGGCACACCAGGACTTTTTATTAAAACTTCAAAATATTTTAAAAATATTTTAAACTTTTGTAAAAAAAAAGAAAACCAAATCAACCAACCAGAGACTCTTCTGAGGAGGAACATTTGTATTTGAATGAGATCCTGGGCGTGTGATTCAGTCTTGCGGTAGACAAGCTTTGTGTATAAATGTTTTATGATATGAATCCCTGTATTTGCAGGGTTTTTCTCTTTGCTCATTAGATAAATATGTATATCGATATTTTAAATTCATCTTGCTTTTTTTAGAGGAGTTTGTAATCACCTTATAACATGAAAATAAACATTTCCTTTGTAAAATCCAACACGTGTGCGTTCTGTTTTTTGTTTTCTTTTTAAGATTTCATTTTCCTTTTTCTCCCCAAAACCCCCCAGTACATAGTTGTATATTTTTAGTTGTAGGTCCTTCTAGTTGTGGCATGTGGGACGCCACCTCAGCGTGGCCTGATAAGCGGTGCCATGTCTGCGTCTAGGATCCAAACTGGCGAAACCCCGGGCTCCAAGGCCGGGAGCTTGAACTTAACCACTCGGCCACGGGCCGGCCCCTGCGTTCCGTTCTGATGAGGCTGTTTTTCCTCACTTTTGGCAAGCGTTGTACATTTTACAAAGAGCTTTCAGTCCCGCCCAAGGATGCTCCTCAATGGTGACTATTATTATCCAGGTTGGAGACACTGAGGCAGAGGCTCAGAGTGGGCCATGGTTTGCTCAAGGGCACACAGCAAGTCCAGGAAAGAGCCAGGCCTCGCACCCTGGTCCTCAGACTCCTGAGTCTGCTCTGGCTGCTTCTACTGATCCTGCTGATTGAAGTCCACCTTCTGGGTGCGCAGCCCTGTGTGACTGGGAGATCTCCCACCAGCTTCCTGAGCTTCAGTTTCCCCAGCTGGAATACACTACCGCCCCCTGCAAGGCTGCAGGATGATTAGAGGGGATGCTCATAAAGTACCAGGTGTAGTCACTTACTGACACCCGAACCGGGCCTCTCGGATCGCAAAGTCCAGGAGTGGGGCAGGCGGCGCGGAGACAGGGTGAGTGGCCAGCCCTGGAGGGACGCAAACAGGGATGATGCCACGGCCCCTGGGACATCAGAAAGAGGAGATGCAGGACCCCCGGAGATCAGTGGCTGACACAGACATCCTCAGCCTGGGGAAATGTGAGCCCAACCCACTGTTACAGTGGGGGAAACTGAGGCTAGGAGAGGGGATTGGCCTCACTGGGGTCACAAAGCAGGCCAATGTTTTGGGCAGCCGTCTTGCCCACTTGGTCCCTGATGTGGATCAAGGCTGCCCCAGGGAGAGAAGCCCAAGGCGTCCAGGCCTGCAGGCTCATCTATATGACCGAGGTGGGAGGGGGAGGGTCTTTCCAGGGATCCAGGAGGGAGGAACGGAAGAATCTCCAGGAATGCCAGGGCCAGCCTGCTCCTTCCTCTCTGGGGCGTCCCGTAGACAGGGACTGCAAGACACTGTCCCAAGCGGCTGGACGGAAGCGGGCCCTGAGGCGACCAGGGAGGACAGGCCGGCGCCAGCCCCCAGCGCTCCTCCGGCGGCGGCGCAGCACCGGGCCGCCCACGGCGATCCAGCCGCAGCGCAGACGCCGCCCGCTACTGGCGGGGGTGCTGGCCGGAGGCCCTATGCAAATCAGGGATCGCAATTTCCACCAATCAGAGGGAAGCTCCGGCGCTGTAACTGCTAATGGGAGCGAGCGCGCCGGCGCGGCACGCCTCCCGGCTGGGCGCGGGCGCGGGCGGGGCGGGGCTGGCCGAGGGTGCGGGCCGAGCCTGGTGGCGCCGCCCCCGCCTCGTCTCTGGCTGCCTCGTCGCAGCGCCCGCCCTGGGGGTGGAGGCGGCGGGTCGGCCCGCAGTGGTTGCGTACTTTACTCTGGCGGGGGCGCCTCCACTGTTGTCTCCGGTTTTGTGTGCGCTGATTTGCATGGGGTTTTGGTTGTTTTACTAAGAGATTTTAAAAAACACCGATAACTTACCAGAAAGTTGACTGTTATATGACTATTTCGTCATATTTACTTCGAGTTTAATGAGCGACAAAAATGAAATTCCCTTTGCTTGTCCTTGCTGTCTCCTCGCTGTTTGTCAGGGTTGTAAATCAGATTGTCGGGTGCTTTTCGTTTTAACATGAAGGAATAGAATGTCCTTAGAGGAGTGTATCCTTTTCATTCAGGTTTTTATACTTTCACATAAAATGTGATGTTAAAAGCACCTTCTTGAATCTGAGAACGTATTATTTTGTGATTTTCAGGTTTATATAATAGGTATCATCTGGGACATTTCATTTTGCAATTTTTTATTTTTTTCTATCTGGGTCATCAGCTTTCGGAGGTATTGCCAAGTTGCTCTTCAAAGTTTCACTTATTTCAGGGACATATGAACCCCCATTTTCCCACATTGTGCCAGTGCTTAATCCTGCTTACTAGAGCAGTGCCGCATCTTCTCCCATCCTTTGTTTTTAAAGAACAAGTCTCAGGGACAATAGGGCAGCCTTCGCCTGCCGTCTCCATGTGGCCAAGTCAGGCTGGGGCCCCAACTGCTCTCTGAGGCAGGTGGGACAGCCCTAGCATGTGGCTGTCTGGCCTCTTGGCTGGGCTCCGGATGGCAGCCCCTCTTCACGCCCGCCCTGGCCACGCAGTGCCCAGGCTTGGCTCCAGGCCTTAAACGGATTCTTTCCTGCTCTGCAGCTCTAAGGAGGCATAGGGTCCCCAGCACTCCAGGTCCTAATAGACAGGTGTCCGCCCCACCTCCTGTCTGCAGTCCATCTGGATCCATCTCCTGGTGCCAAGTTTGTGTGCTAAAGCCCAACCTTGCTTTGTACGGAGGCAGGGCAGACCCAGGCAAGGGAGGGGCTTGCCCAAGGGCACACGCTTGGCATAGGTAAGTTAAGGACAAATCCAAGGGCTCCTAGCCTGGGAGGGGTAGCTAAGCTTGGAGAGTTTGTACAAGATCCCGCTTGCTGCCAGAAAAGCCTGGAGGATGGGTTGGTGGTGTTGGTAATGGGGTGGCCTCAGACTCCTAGATGCCCCCTGGGCCTGCACGCCCTCCCTCCCCCTCCTCCACCAGAGTGAGGAGTAAGCGATGGGAAGGATGGAACCTCATTCCTTGGGGAAAGGAGCTTTGGCTCAGGCTGTATGGGAGGGTCCCCAGTACATGCAAAACTGACCCAGTCCTTTGCCCTCTCTGGAACTTGGTTTGCCCATCTCTGAGTCAGGAGAGTGGGTGCTCAAGGTCGAACTCCCAGGAGCCCAGAACAACAGAGGCAGGTTGTTGGAGACCCAGAACCTTCCTCTGGGCTGCTGTCCCTCACGTGGAGATGCATGAGGATCCCCCCTTGCGTCCCCCACCTTGCGTCCCTGGACTCCAGGGCGGAGAGGCCTGCAGCAGGCTCTGCAGGCCACACTCCCAGCGGGCGACCGAAGCAAGAGCACTGTTTGGAGGAGTCGGGGACACCCGTGAAAGGGCTTGAACAATCAGGCTGAACCACACAACAAGTTCTAAAGGGCAGTCAGGCCGGGGCAGGGCCCCAGCACCACACTCCTAGCCCCTAGCGGAGGCAGCCAGAAGAAAGAGAGCAGCTGGGAGAAGCTAGAGGAGGTGGGCCTCCGGGAGCTCCTACCTGCAGGGCGAGTGCTCAGGGCTCTGGGATCCTGATGACGAGGCCGGACGGAGAGGGTGTTACCCTGGTGCAGACCCTCAGCACCGGCAGGCTGGGGCTCTGGCTTTCACCACTTTATGGCTTCCTTTGGCTCCGTCTCCTTCAGGACACCACCATTTGGGGCTTCTTGCCTTGTGAAGCAGCCGGAAGGGCTCTCACAGAAGATCGAGTCAGTGATCCCAAAGGTGGAGGGCTGCTGGCCCGTACCGTGTGTATGCATGTATGTATGTTGTGCATCCATCTCCAGAACTTTGTCATCCTGCAAAACTGAAACTCTGTCCCCGTGAAGCGACCCCTTCCCAGCACCCTCCCCCAGCCCTGGCAGCCCCCATTCTACTTTCTGTCTCTATGAATTTGACCACTCTAGATATTTCATATAAGTGGAATCATACAGCATTTGTCCTTCTGTGACTGGCTTATTTCACTTGGCACAATGTCCTCAGGGTTCATCCATGTAGTAGCAGGTGTCAGGATTTCCTTCCTTTTCAAGGCTGAGTAACATTCCCTTGCATGTATGGACCACATTCTGTTCATCCGTTCATCTGTCGATGGGCACTTGAGTTGCTTCCGCCTCTTGGCTACTGTGAACAATGCTGCTCTGACCATGGGTGTGCACACGGCTCTTCAAGTCACTACTTTGAATTCTTTGGGGTATATACCCAGAAGTAAAATTGCTGGATCGGATGATAATTCTATGTTTAATTTTTTGAGGACCCTCCACACCGTTTTCCACAGCAGCTGCAGCATCTTACATTCCCACCCACAGTGCACAAGCTTCCAGCTTTTCCACATCCTCACCCACACTTATGTTCTTTTTTCTTAGAGAAGCCATCCTAATGGGTGTGAGGTGGACTATTTCTTTTTTTTTAAGCCCACGTTTTAAAAGTGGGAAGTTTCAGAAAAAAGTTTATAGTTTCCACATAAAAAATTCTCAGGAGGTGCCTCTGATGCCTGAGCCCCACATGGGACCATTTCCCCACATGGGAAATGCCAGGCTGAGGCCCCCTCCCAGGCCTCCCTGGGTGGCCCACGTCACTCTCTGCCTCTGGAAGGGGACTTAGGAACATTTCAGGAGGTGCTTCTGACATGGTCTGAAAAACCTGAGCAGCCCTGGCCACACTGCTGCCTGGCATCCATCAGCGGGACTGGGTGGCCACAGCGCCTCTCCAGGCGGGGTCTGTGTCCTCCAGGCGGCCAGACTGCCCTGCCCAGCCTGGGGCCTGTCCACCACTGTGTTTGAGAGGCCTGGTCTAGTCTGTCCTCACCCTCATTCGCACACACCCATTTTATAATGGGAAACTGGGATGGCTTTGTGTCCGCTTGGCTGGGCTGGACTACATCTGTCTTTCCCGGAACTCCCTTGCTTGTCTGTTTCCCATTAGGGTGGGCCACAAGGCATATTCCTGTCAGATTTGGAAGGAAGCAACCATTTTGGTTGCTGATCTGCTCATTCACCTCCTCGGTGGGAAGCAGCACCTGGGTCTGCAATTACTCTACTTTCCCTGGATTCTCCTTCAGTTTTACTGACCCGTGGGCCAGGTGTGTGCGTGGTCAGCTTGGCAATGAAGGGTCTCAGCTGCTGCAGGAGACCCTCAGCACCAAGGTCAGAGGCAACAAGAACCGACACAAGTCTCAGTCCATCCTGGGGTTCCAGTTGTGTGAGTTGTGACTCAGCCTGCTCGTGTTCCTGACTGTCTGGCACCTCAAACTCCAGCGTCAGTCACAAAGATTCAGGCTTACAGAAAGCGCTTAACCAGTCCTGCAAGTGTATGTCAACTTTAAAATAAAATAGTCGGTTACTTTCCCTTACTAGCAAAATGAGTTTATTCAGGAATAGCCAAAGGAATTGCAATCTGGGAAATGCAGGTGAAGGCAGACCATAGTGAAGTAAGAGAACAAAGGCGGGAAGCTTGCTTTTATAGAGAAAAAGAGGGAGTGGGCGGGGCTGCTCTAAAAGGAAGTCCATTGGGGGGAGAGTGAGAGTTCAGGCGGTGCCAGCTTCTCATTGGCGGAGCTGCTGCCGGGCGACGAGAACATCTTCCTTCCCCCTGCTTGAGTGGTACAGTAGCTGCGCTTCCCAAAACTGCAAAGTGAGATGGTGAGTGCATGCGAGTTCCCCCTGCAGGGCTTCCCATCTCCATTTTAAAGAAGGCTTCCCTTTACTAATTTGCACACATGCAAGCCCCCTCCCTGATACACATCCGCTACATGGGTGTGTCCACGCCTGCGTCCCGCTGGTTCCGCCTCCCGGTTGACCTCTGACTGACAAGGGGACCTGAAGCCCTGCTGACCAGTCCCGCCCCGTGCCCTGTCAGTCTGCTTGCTGCTTTCACCATTCCCTAAACCCAGGAGCCTCTCCGTGCCTGGGGGCCTGTGCCAGGGCTGCTCCAGCCTGGAATGTTCCTCCCCGGAAGCTCCAGCCGAGCTCCTTGAGAACAGGGGGCAGCTCTGATAGGTCCCCATCCCTGCTTCTGCTCAACCAGGATGTGCTGAATGAGTGACTGTGGACTAAGCCCTTGACATACGAGATTTCATTCTGTTCTCCCGATACCTCTGCAAGTATCACTGCCCCCATTTTGCAAGTGCAAGTGGCCCCCAGCAGTTGCTGTGGAAAGAAGCGAGGCCTCTTGGCTGCCTCATGACAGGTGGAGCTGCCAGAACAGCTAATGTGCCGTCTGGCCACATCACCCAAGGTCTGATGCCTGGGACAGAGAGACGTCAGTACCCCTTGTGCTGAGTGCTCAGGCCCCGCCAACAGGTTGTGTGCTCAGCACTCAGCCCTGCCCTGGCAGAGACCGGTTCAGCTAGGTTGGTCCACTGGCGTCAGTTGGGTGCAGACCCCATCCTAAGTCGCTAAAGCCACACAGCCTGGAAAAGCGCCTTTCCAGTGGCTGCAGGGCTGTCTTGGGGCCAGGAAGAAGTCGGACCTAGGGACCCAGAAGGTAGACCTGAGATCCTAAGGGGGTTCACAGGGAGGCAGGTCCTGGCCCCACAAGAGGAAGGAGACCGTATTGCCGGAGGAGAGCGCACTACGCCCAGGGGGTGCGACGGGCGGAGGCAGGAAAACCCGGGGACCCTGGCCAGAGGCACTGTGTTCAGAGGCTCCCTGGTGAGATGAGTAAAAAGAATCTTTCTTGGCTCCATTTATAGATGAGGAAACTGAGGCTTAGGGAGAACAATCTTGCCCCAGATGAAAAGACCGTGGTGGACCCAGGCCCAGAACCCTGATCTCAGCCTCCAGGGCCTGGTCCCACTTGACTCCTCTCCTGAGTAGTGGGCAGAGAGGAGCCCGGGTCTGGGCCATTGCTATGCCCCTAGTTTACAGACAAGCAAATGCACCTGGTCTTTTGCCGCCTCTCTGCACCAGGGTCACCTCCCCCAGGAAGCCCTCCTGGGCCTTGCAGTATCCTGCGCCTCCAATGTTCACCTGGAATTGAGGTTCCCTGAAGCCAAGTCCAAGAGACACATTAAGTAAATAGTGGATCCTGGGCTCCCCAGACCCATGCCAGAGCTGAATGTGGTGTCAGGGCAGAAAATACAGCCTCCTGGTCTCACCACCTGCACCAGTAAGATTAGCTTTTGAAGACCTTTCTTGCTGGGGCTGTTCTAAGGCTGAAATGAGGGCTGTGCGGCCTTCCTCTGAGTGCCTGGCACACACTGAGTGTTCACATAGGGCTAGTTACGGCCATTGGTTCTTCAGCTTGGGGTGGGAGCCACCTGCAGAAGTGCAGCTCTGCCCTAGGGTCTGAGTGAGCTAGCAGGGAAGAGGAGAGGAGGGGCCTGTGGGTAGAGAGTGGGACACTGGGAGAGTGGTTTCAGAGAAAGACCAATGGATGACAAGGTCCAGGATGTGAACATGAGAGGGTAAAGTGAGTCAAAGGAGAGACTACACTGCAGGTGACAGAAACCCAACTCAAACTGATGCAAAAAGCAATGTATCAGCTCACATGACATTCAGGTCTAAGCTAGCTTCAGGCATGGCTGGATCTGGAGGCTCCATGAATGTCCTTAAGTATTTGTCTCTCCATTTTTTGATTCCAACTTTCTCTGTCTTGGTTCCTTTTTCGGGTGGGCTCTCCCTATGTGTGGACAAAGATGACCACTGGCAACTCTGGCCCCATGTCCCTACCCTTTAATTATCCTGGAGGAGAAAACACCTCTTTCTCAATAGTTCCAGAGAAAGTCCCAGGATCGACTCTCATTGAACCCACTGGGGTCAAAAACCCATTTCTGACCCAATTATTGTGGCAAAGTGAACAATCAACTGAACACTCATTAGCCAGGTCTTTGGTCGTGCGACCATTCCTGGGACTGGAGGGGTCAGACCCCCAGAATCATTTGGCCTGAGTAGGGTGGGTTGTGTCCCCGGAAGAAAATTAAAGTGCTCTTCATTATCAGAAGAGTGGGAGGCCCCACTGAGGGCTCGGCCCCTGGGTGCTCCACTGCTCCTGGAGGCAGGCCTTGAAAGGAGGGGAGGAAACAGCGAGCTAGGGGCCCAAGTCTTCAAGGAAGGGAGGGGGGTGACAGGAGAGAGGTGAGGGGCAGCAGCGTCACAGTGAGAGGCCACTGGGAGAGCAGGGTGGTATGAGTGGCAAAGGGCGGGTTTTGGTGGGAAATAGGAAAGGCAGTGCTGAGAGGAAAGGCCCTGGCATGCAGGGATGGCGTCAAAAGGAAGCGGTCGGTGAGCAGGGTCCGGGGCTTTGGTTAGGAAGGGCTCGGAGGAAGGAAGCAAGCTCAGGGCAAATTGCTGGGCAGGAAGGAGCAGTGTCCACGTGCCCGGGTCCCTTGCAGCAACCCTTCCCAATCCTCTCTGAACCTCACAGCCACCTAAGAGATGGTCAGAAAGCCAAGTCCCAGGCCCCAGCCTCAGATTCTGATTTGGGCAACTGGGGTGAGCCCAGGTGGCATCTGGGCTCCGGCTTCTGGTTTAGAATAGGATAGAATCTGAGGGAACACATTTCGCTGGTCAGGAGCACCGTCCCCCAGAATCCTGGGTAGGCCAAGCTCTCTCACGGCCTCTACCTGCTGGTGGCTTATTGACTGGTCCTCTAGGCAGTATGGGACACGATGAGGTCTGGCACAGTCGCCCTGCAGCAGGGCACTGGGCAAACTGCTCCCTAGTCAAAACTGCAAAGGAGACGAAACTGCTAGTGATCAGCAAGTGGCCAGAACGTGAACGGGCAGGATGTACCCTGGTCCCCCACAGTCCCTGTCTCCAACCTGGGCCTCCTCCTGCGTGCTTCCTGGATGCCCACAGCTCCCCAGAACCAAAAGAGCCACAGCAAGGTGTAGCATTGCCGTCTCCTCCTCTGCTCAAATGACAGTGTCTCCTGCAGCCATCAGTCACAAGTCTCCACACTCAGATCCGGTCCCCATCTTGTCCTCTGAACTTCTGCCTCAAGAAGGATGATGTGCCAAAAGGTGCATCCGTGACTTGTCTCCCCCACTGGCTGAAAGCGTTGGGCAGGGCAGGCACTTCTGCTCATCTAAGAGCCCACTGCCCTGTCCTCGATGCCTAGCACACGACAGGGCAGGTTAAGACTCACCCTGGCACCTGGCCCTGCAGGTCCCTGAGGCAGGCAGCAGTGAGGAGCCCCTGCTTCAAGGCTATGAAGACTTGAAGAGGGAGTGAAGTGGCCACTTGCTCCGTGCGTGCCAGGGATGTGCCAGGAAGGGTGACAGCTGCCAGGCCCAGGTCAGGGGCTCTTCCAGTGCTGCTCCCTCCCTCCCCTGACCCCAAACCTACTTGCCCTTCCCCGCCAACCGCCAACCTGTAGTCTCTTACACAGCAATTGAGAGAGTCCCCTGCATCTCTCACCTAACCCCAGAAGCCAGAGCATTCCCTGGCTTCCCACTGTCCCGGGGCCCTCCTCCTCCTGCTAGATTGTCCTTTCACAGAACCTCTGTCGGAATAGTTGTCACCTTAGTACCCAGGTGGATTAACTATTCCATATGCTGGACATCAGGGTCACTCAGGGCTGACAGTCTCTCTTCTCAATTTGCCCAAGAACCCTCTGGGTGTCCTGTCTGCTCCAGACTAACCAGCAACCTGAGAAGATCACTGCCTTGCTCAGGCCACACCTCCTCTCCACACCACACTATTCTTGTCGCATCAACCCCAAGTCTCACCGCATTCAGAATAACTAATCTCCGCAAACGTCCAGCCGATGTGACCTTGTAAGAGCTGAGGAACCCTGACCAGTGAACCCCCAAAACCACCACTCCCTCACCCCACGGCTGGTGAACCCTTGTCAGAGACTTTACCAGCCTATCTCCAGCACCCTTCCATTTCCACTCACGGGAGATGGGACCCGCGATTCCTTCTGGGATCAACCGGCCGCCCCCTCCCCAGCCGTTTCTACCCCTTGCAGACTCCAGGTCGGGGTGCCGAGGATCTCTGGGGCCCACCGTCCAACTCTAGCTGCGCGCTGACCACGCCCATCCCTATTCCACTCGGAAAAAAACGAGAGCGGTTCAAAGGTTTAAACCATTTATTGTGACCCCCAAAAGGCCGACGGAATGGAGACAAGGCCCGGGCAGCCGCGCACCCCGAGCGATTGCTTGTCGCTCACCCGAAAGCAGGGAGGGTGGGGAGCTGGAAAGAGCGGCCCGGATGGGCAGGCGCGGCCATGGCCATTGGCGCCTAGGGGCTGGTAACCATAGCAACACCCGTTGCCAAGGGCGAGAGCCAATAGGGGCGCCGCCAGGGCCGTTTCAAAAATCTAAAGCAAACAACAAAAAAAGGCTACATCGGCGGGGGATGGGAGCTGGAGAAGGGATGGAGCAGGCCCGAGGCCCCTGCCCGCGGCTCAGAGCAGGCGCGGCGGCCCGGGCCGCAGTAAACGTACAAAACCTACATACGCTGGAGTAGAAAAACCAAACACCGGGGAGGCCCAGGCTGGCGCGCTCACTTGCGGCCCTTGGGCACTTTGGGGACACTGGGCTTGGCCGCCTTCTTCACCTTCTTGCCCCCAGCGGCCGCTACCTTCTTAGCCTTGCTGCCTTTGTCCTTTCTGGGGGCGGCGCCCTTCTTGTGCGAGCGCTTCTCCGGCTTCTGGCCCTTGACAGGCTTCTTGTCCGCGCGCCGGGGGCCGGCCGCGCCCGAGGCCGCCTTCTTGGTCTTGTGCGCGGCGGGCGCCGGGGCGGTGGCGGCCGCCGTGGCTCCGCGCCGCTCGCCGCCGCCCTCCAGCTTCTTGCGGTTGAGCTTGAAGGAGCCGTTGGCGCCGGTGCCCTTCACCTGCAGGAGCGTGTCGTTCTGCACCAGCGCCTTGATGGAGTACTTGAGGTAGGTGCGGCCGTTCTGCTGGTCGAACCACGCCACCTTCTTGGCCTCCGTGTAGATCTTGGCCAGCGACGAGCCGTTGCGTTCGCCCAGCCTGCGGATGGTCTCCACCACCAACTGGCTGTACTTGCCCGGCTGGTTCTTCTTCTTGTTCTTTCTCTTCTTGGACGGGGACAGCGCCGCCGAGCCACCAGCCTTGGCCGCCTTCTTGGCCGCCCCCTCGGCGGTCGTCAGCGGCAGGGCCTCCTCCAGCTCCACAGACATGGTGGCCAACGGGTTGGTGGCGGGCGGGGCGCGGAAGCCCGGAGGCCGCGCCGGGAAGAGGAAGGCGAGGGGCCGAGGGGGCGCCGGGGGGCTGGGGGCGCGCGGCGGCTCCAGGCGGGAGCGGCCGCGGCCGGGCCTGGGGCCGGGCGGCAGGGCTGGGGCGGGGGCCGGGCCGGCCGGAGCGGGGGTCCCGGGCGGGGGCCGGGGCCGGGGCCGGATCGAGGACGGAGTAGAGAAAACTGCGGTGACAGGCGAACCAAGAAAAGGACACTGGCCGGGCGAGCGCCGCTGCGACCGCTGCCTCCGCCTCCGCCGAAGCTGTCTGGGCGTGCGCGCTGCGTACTGCCGAGGAGGGCGCCCCACACTGCTTTTATGGCTCCATGGCGGACCACGTTGAGAACAACAACAGGCTGGTCCGAAGCCAGCGCCAACTTGTGCTTCTTGGAGCCCCTTCCCCGGCCGCTGGCTTCCCGGACCGCGCCTCCCTGGCGCCGCCGCGCCCGCAGCCGTGCGCCCGGAACAGGGCCCGAGCCCGCGGCGCAGCGGAGAGGCGGCCTGCGCCCAGGAAGGGCTCCGCAAAGGGGAACGGAGGGGTGCACCCTAGGCTGCGGGAGCGCGAGAGGAGGGGGGCCCCCCGTTTGGAGGCGAAAAGCGCAGGCCCCGGGGGAGGCCCCACCGCCCGGAGCTTTGCGGCCGACAGCCAAGAGTGCGCTACGGGCACCCAAACCCTGATCGCGTCCAGGGGGGCCCCGGCCTGCCCGCAGGACCAGCTTTAATTTGTCCGAACTAACACAGGGCACGCCCTCACGTGGTCGGCCGGGGCAATGTGAAGTGAGCTAGGACATCTTCGAGGGGGGTCTCCGCTCGAGTCAAAGAGGATAGCGAACGGAGGCACCCTCCAGCTGCGCGCCCAGGGTCTTGTTATGCCTCACGGGCCTGGGCACAACACGGGAGGAAGCGGGGGACGACCGAAATGTCTGGAGACATTTCTTAGCCGCCCGCTCCCTTGTTGCTGATGCCCCGAGTGCCCCATTTTGTGGTGCGCAAATAGCCGCCATCATTTCCCCCAAAGCCAAATGGCGGCTCCAGGGTAGGACAGGGTGGGCGATGTTAAGGCTGCGACCCCTGGAGGAGGTCCCGGAGAGCATGAGGGAGGGGAGTTGCTCTTAGCTCCGGGCCACACCCCTCCCCCTCTTGTATGGGGAGGGCAATCAGAGTGGGTCCGCTCCCTGCTCTCCGGGTGCCAGACGAAGTCTTCTGCAGAAGCTCGTGCAAGTCTGGCGGCCTTGAGCTCCACTGGGTCCTGTATTGGGGGTGCGGAGGAGGTGCCGGACAGTCTTTCCCGAAGCCAAAGAAGCCTGCGCTTGGGGCGGCTGGGACCACGGAGAGACAGTCGGGAGGAGAGCGGGTCCTTTTGGGTAAGTGATTTTAGGCCTGTACCCTGGGGGCCACGGCAGAGACGCAGACAATAAACAGTCTCCTGAGGCTGGGGCATGGAGGAGTAGCTGGGACCGGAGGCTAGAGAATTGGGGTTCCAGGGCTGGAGGTCGTGAGGTTCCAAAAGAGGGGCGCGTTTCCGGGCGTTCTTCCCCAGCAGGCCCCTATGAGCAGGCGTGGTGGGCCCTCCCCTCTTCTCGGCGCTCACCCCTTTCACAGCTCTTGTTCTCCGACAAGCTAGTGAATACGCCCCAGAAGAGGAGGAAATCACGGCTGGGAAAGGTGAGACTGGGTGTTTCGGGGGCGGGGGTCATGGGCATAGAGCTGTTAGAGGACTTAGGTCTCCAGGGCAGTGAGTTTACCCCACAGGAGAGGGAGAATAGATTGCAACCCAGGTCCCTGCAAAGAAGGCCAAGCTCCTCTCCCAGGAAAGAGGATCCCTGAATGGACTGTCTGCCCAGGGTCAGGAAAACCATGAGGGCCTGCGATCTCAGCCAAGTTGAGGAAAGACCATCTGAACTTCCTAACAGAGTTGAGGGAGTGGGTTTCTGACAGAGCCCCTGAGCTGAGCCCTGGGGAGCAGCAAGGGTCTTGCAGAGCCTGCATGGCTTGAACAAAGACCTCAAGTCCCAAAAATGCAAAGTGTGTGCAGGCCGGTTGCGTTGACGATGTTACACAGTGAGAGAGAAGCTGCAGGATGCAAACGCTGCGCGGCCCCCCGCCCCACAGCGAGTCTGTCCAGGAGCAAAAGCCAGGCTGGGGAGGTGGATATGGCGGCCCTGGTAGGGTAGCCCAGGGTGCATGGAGATGGGATGGGAACAGGGACGCCCAGATGAGAGCTGGCCCAAGGAAACCAGCTGGGGGGGAGGCTTGAGCTTGGGGGCTCTGAAAGGGCAGAGGGAGAGAGGGGCTGATTCCACTGATGGAACCCCAGCACGGGCAGCAAGGGCGCCGCCAGACTGAAACATTTGTCCAGCCTTCACGGGAGAGGAGGTTGCTGGAAATGTGAATCTGGAGCTGGCTACAGTAGCAGGCTGGGTGAGGGGTACCCTCCTGGGGTCATCATGGAGGGGACAGGGTCCCCAGGAGACAGAGGAAGAATGGTCAGAGAGGAAGGAGGGAAGCCAGGTGGGGCCAGAGTCATGGAAGCTGAGGAGGAGAGAGTCTCAAGAAAGAAGGGCTGGTGGTCCCAGCGCAGCCCACTCAGAAAGGGGACTGATGATCAGAGCGGACAGGGTTGGCAGAGCTGAGGAGACTGGTGAGCTTCCAGTCACTAAGGCGGAGCTCGCTCCTGCGAGACCCTGTGGCTGGGCCCTGCCTGTTTCACCCAGTGTTTTTTTAAAAAAAAACACTGTTAGTTCCAGGATTGAAAAATCAGGAGATTTCAGATAAAAATGCAGTCCAGGTTTCCCTTAAAAACATCTGAAGAATCGGTTGGGTCGGGGGCCAGAAGAGAGGGGCCTGAGCAGCATTCGCGCCCTCCACATGGGCCGGACTCCCAGCACCTGCTCAATGAGGGGGTCACTGCCACCTGTGTGGGGCCCTGGGGGAGCCTGGCCATGGCTGGAGGAGAGAAGAAATCACTGGAGGAAGTGGACACATGTAGGCAGGGCAGTGTGGCCCAGGCCATGGGGGAGGGGACAGAAGACACAGCTCCGAGTCCAGGCTAGCCCCGGTGGGCTCTTTGGCCCAGCAGTGGAGGGAGCATCTTTGCCAAGATGGGGGCTGCCTGTGGACCAGGGAAGGCTAATTTTAGGCTTTGGAAGCTGGCAAGGGACCAAGTGGTTGTGTCCCAATGGCATCATTATGCAGATGAGGAGACTGAGCCCTGGGGCTGGGGGGCTGGGGGTGGGTGGCGGCAGGTAGTGACTTTGTCCAGTTAGCCAGGATTCTAGGGCCTGGGTCCTGCCAGCCTTCAGGGATGCTTCTCAAACTCCACACTGCCAGGTACCCCCCTGCCACCCCTCTAAGGAAACCATAGGTGTGGAAGACCTCAAGTAGCCAATGACAGAATACAAAAAAAGGAGCATCTGGAAGTGGCCAGGCCTAACAGACGCCCCTTCCCCAGGGCCAGGCCAGTCTGGAGGAAGCTCGGGGGCACATGGTGCCTGTGGGTGCCAGCGTCAGGGTGGTCCTCTCTCTCCAGGGGAGCTCGTCCAGGCTCGGGACTCTGAACACTTCATGCACTGATGACACCTCTCATTTCTGTCTCTCTCCTGACCAACAGACTCCAGCATCCAGCTGCCTGCTGCCATCGCCACTGGGGGGTCTAAAACATGTCCCTTCTGTGTCGTGGCTAAAACAGAACTCTCGAGTTTCTCTTGCAAACCTTTGCTCCCGAAACTGTCACAGTGCTAACCCAAAAGCACAGACACCCCTCTGATTTCTTTTTCCCTCTACCCTCTTATCCAACACATCGGTTCCTATCAGGTCTACACCCTCCAACGAGTCCCACATCCATCCTCTTCTTCCCAAGCTGCTGTGCTCTCCGCTTTTCCACTGTGGCCTCTCCAAGCCTCCACCCAGCAGCAGAGGGAGCATCTAACACAGAAGTCTGATACCCTGTGTCCTGCCTCTGCTAAAAGGCCTCCAGTTGCTTCTCATCAGACTTAGGATTAATCTGTACTCAGCCACACGGGCCTTTTTGTTTCTTACACATACACGGGGCAGGGGCAGGGGGAGGGGGCACTCCCACCTCAGTGCCTTTGCACTTGCTGTGTGGCTGGCTCCTTTCATTCAGAGCAGCCCCAGGGGCCAGCTGTGCTAAAATGCCTCCCTAGCACATCCCTCTGCTTTATTTCTTCATAGTATTTATCAACACCTGACCCCGTTTTGCCTGTTCACTCGAGGGCTGGGAGCCCTCTAAGAGCAGAACTGGGTCTGCCTTGCTCCCTGCGGGGCCCCACCCCTGGGCACACCCTGCAGCCTGAAGATGACACAGGTGTGCCTACAGCAGCAGCAACAGGAAGGTGGACTGGGAGATGCCCACAAACTCCAGGTGTGACCCACGCGCCCCCTTACACCACCCAGCCTCAGTTCCCCAGTTTGTGAAAAGGGGCTGGATGTGTTTGGATGACCGTTCCAGCTTTGACAGCTTGGTTCTGGACTCCTGAACAGAGGAGATGACCTAGAGGACCCACAAGAATACAGCCTGGGTGGACGAGAGGATACAAAACAGAGACGTAGAGGCCCCAGGTGTCAGAGGAAGGGGTTGGCTTGGCCTGATGGGAAGTCTCGGACTGGGATTGCAAAGCCTGGGGCTCTGGGTGGGCCGTGGGCCCCTGTGTCTCTGTGGGCCTCACCAGGGCAGGAGCCCTGGGTGTGGGGGGCTGAAAGGCTGCAGGAGTCACCAGCCCCGGGCATGGGGTTCAGAGGCCTTGCCACCTGGGGGCCCCTGACCAGGGAAGGCCCAGTTGGCTTTGGCCAGGCTGCTGAGAGTAACAGTTAAGAAGGACCAGAGTGTCTCCCCAGAATGTTTTAAACGGAGAGTTTGCCTCAAGCCTATGCCTGGGCTGGGAGGGAGGATGGCAAAACCCAATTTGAGGCATCAAGTGCTTTTCTGCATTTAAGGGGAGACAAAGGAAATTCACCAGAGGAGACTATGGGGAAGGTTG